CTTCAAACTCACTAATTTAATCTAAGTAAACTATAGGTAAAAATATAATATTAATCATAAGCTAAAATGTACTAATCTTTGTATTCTAAATGGGGAAAAAGAAGAAACATTGTCAGTCAGTCGAGAAAATTGTCAGTCAGGCTATATGGCAGCTTTGTAGATGTTGTGACTATGCTAGTAGTGGTCCCAGGCTTGCGACTGGAATTGCGGTGTTAAATCGATTTAATGGTACCAACGATCCACCTCCCACTTGTTGTTTGGTACTTAGCATTAATAGTGTTAGCTGTAGCCATTTATAGCAAGAATCTTAAAACTAAAGGGGATGACAAGGAAAAGAGGAAGGAAAAAGAATAACGGGACAAACAATTAATTAAAGTATTTATAGGAGCATTAGATATTGTAATTACAAGCTTCAATAATAAATCACTGACTAAAACTTCTAATTAAAATGACACTTGGCACGCTCGCCCATTTTCACTGGTCAGTCTGAACTTCGGTTTAGCACGTTGTACACTTATTCACCTAAGTTTCAGAATTTGTTCAGTTTAGCAGAGTTAGTACCCGTGTTTCAATAAATCAAAAGATATCAGGGGAGTTCTTTAATAATGTTACGGTCATCTAGAATACCGAACTTCCTGAAAACGTTATCATATTTCCTCAGACAACGTTTAATGCCTTTAATCAGTCTATCACGGCTATATCCTCTATCAATTAGAATTTAAATGATTTTTAGCACATTGGGGGACGTTGTTATTTTGTAGTATTGTACGTTATTATGCTTTGCTCTTAAGCTTCACGAAAGAAAAAGTTGTTAGTTGATGCCATAACTGTTTGAAAGTAAAATCCTCCGTCAAATGACAAATACTCACAATGATGTTTGTGTCATTTTAACTAAAAAACATAATAATTTTTTATTATATCACGGAGATTTTTCAGTTTGTTTGTAAAAGCTTCTATAAATAATTAAGTCCCGGTATATTAATCAAGGTTAAGTGGGGGTGGGTATGTGTCTCTCCGCCACAATTCATTGAGAGATGTGATAGCAGAGCTATTAGAAACTGCTGGCTGTAAAGATGTTACCACTGAACCTCTCCTCATTCCTGTCAACGGGAGAGAACTTCCTGCAGGGGCCAACAAAGCAGATGGAGCTAGATTAGATGTTAGTGCTAGGAGTGTATGGAACCCATTGGAAAGGGCATTTTTAGATGTAAGAGTATTTCATGCTCAAGCTCCTTCCAATAAGGCTCTTGGATCTCCAACCACTATGTACAATAGCCACGAGAGACAGAAAAAGAATTTATACAATAAAAGGATTGTAGAAGTCGAACATGGGACGTTTACACCGATAGTCCTATCAACCACTGGGGGTATGGGAAGGGAAGCTAATAAGTTCTTCAAGAAGTTAGCGGATTAACTATCTAGGAAATCAGGCCAACGATATAGTGAGGCAATGACATTTATTAGGAAGAGAGTAAGATTTGACCTATTGAGAACAACAATCATAGCTCTTAGAGGAGAGAGAGGGTTTAAAAGTAGTAGTGCAGTAAAAATAGCAGAATTAGATATAAATTTGGAGCCAGTTCTTTAAACTGGCTTACTTATACTACTTAAAGGGTGTTCAAGGGTTTTCTATTGAATTTATATTGAATTTTATATAGGGTAATTGTTATATTATGTGTATATTGTTTGAATAATTTTTCTATCAAGGTTAAGTTGTATATTGTAAAAAAACAGGCATCCTTCATCAATTATCATGTATCAGGTGCAGACTGCGATCTAACTTGTTCTTAATGTCCTTCGGAACTGATGGTAAAATTTCTGCTCGAATCTGAAACCTTTCGATTAGTTGTCAGAATGTTCATCATAAATAAATTTACAGAATATTTATCACATCCACATTTATTTTGCTGAGTTGTCTGTATACTGTAACAACAAAACTAACAGTTTCTTGTGATTTATGAAATTCAATACGATAATTTTTAGACCTTTTCTGCTTCTCATCTAAAGGAATGATCCCAAAGAATGATATCAACACATTGATTCACTATTGATGTTATAAATTTAGAGCCAACAAATTGAACTGGCTACTTCTATACTTAAAGGGTTTTTATAATTTCATATTGAATTTTTATATGGGGTCAATGCTATATTAAAATAATAATAATAATTTAAACTTATAGATTATAGTGGCACAACAACTTAAAATGCACAGGTGTGCCACGAAAACAAGTCAGGATACAAGAAAACCTGAAAAGCAATCCACATTTAGGTTCCAAACCATAGAAGATTGTAAAGACTTGATACATTAAATTACAAAGTTAAGGGTATGCACTTAGCAGTAGAAACGTTGAAATATAGTAAATTAATTAATATCAAAAGCACGTTTATAAAGAAACGTTTTCAGATACACTTTAAAAGATTCCAGTGACATGCAATTCTTAATTTCAAGAGGCAGCTCATTCCATAATTTAGGGCCAACTTTCTGAAACGATCTTTCCCCATACTGTGAATATACTCTAGGTTCAGTCAAATAGATAAGATGATTATAATTGGCATATTTAAACATATCACTTAAATAATCTGGTCCCATACCATTAAGACATTTATAGACAAGAAGCAATAACTTATATTGAATTCTGTAACTAATAGGCAGCCAATGAAGGTCTTTCAGAGTGTCTCCTAGATGATCATATTTATATAGTCCTACTATAGCTTTAGCAGCTGCATTCTGAACGAGTTGGAGTTGGTGGATGAGGTTGTCACTAATTCCATAATTTAAAGAGCATTGCAGTAGTCCAATTTGCAGACAATGATGCTGTTAATTATAAGCTTGAGCTGAGCTTTACTAAAGAGATATTTTCTCCTTATTACATTCCTAAGGAGTCTGAAACAATGCTTTTTGAGGGACATGATTTGAGGCTCAAAAGTAAGATGATGGTCAATTTGAACACCAAGGTTCTTTGTTGTGCTGACAAATCTGATACAGGTATCATTTGATAGCTTAACTCCCCCTATACTGACCTGGTTTAGAACTTGAGGTGAGGCGATGATAAGTATTTGTGTTTTTCCAGGATTAAGTTGAAGGCAATATTCAACCATCCAGCGCTGTATGGTCCTAGCGCAATTCACAATTTGGATGCCCAGAACATTTACCTGATCACAAGGTTTGAAAGTTTTATATACCTGGTGGTCATCTGCATATCCTTGCACATTGAATCCAGATTTCTCGATGGTCATATACAGAGATCTGATGTATATGTTGAATAGCACCGGTCCTAACACAGAACCTTGAGGTACACCAAATTCTAGAATGATCGTATCACTAGTAGAAGAGCCTATTCTGGTTCTTTGAGTGCGGCCTACTAGGAAACTCTTGAACCATTTAAGAGCAGTACCTCCGATATGGATCTCTATTATGTGTATGATGATGATGAAAATCTTAAAATAACTGGCTACAATGAGCATTTTATTAACAATAAATAGTAAAGATCAAAACTTCAATTTCCAAAAGACTAAGAATTTTAAATACCTACCAAACAAAATTACACCCCGTTAAAACGTTATAAAACACCAGTAATTTAGTACAAAGTTAAAGATCTTAACAATTTCTACACTTCAAAATACTAGAATATAAATGTTCATAGAACACAATATTTGACTTTACCAGTCACTTGACCTTTCAAAATGAAACTGAGGTTAAAGATGCAGTTACAAAAGGCCACTGGTTCTCAATGGTTACTGAAACAAACTTTTTTCCAAAACAAAATTTTTAAAGCAGTCCATATCTGCTTTTCTGTGAACTAAACAGCTCAAATAGAAAAACTCATTCCCTTGTTATCATACAACAATATTTAATTTAAAGGTGTTTGTTTTCAAATAAACAAAGTCCAATAACACTTTACTACACTTCAATATACTTGGTATTTCATCCTTTATCATAGTAGTAGCAAGATTAGCAAAATTAAATGCTATAATAAATCCTTATCTTGTTTGAATTTTTCCAACTATTTATGTTGTTCTCTGACATGATCAGACTATAAAGCAGCAAATAAAGTCAAAAGTTAATTCTACACAAGCACTGGTGAAATCATATTTATAATAAATCAAATCAAATAATATAATTGCACAAACATCGTCACACGTCATCAAGAATATTTCTACAAAATTTATAAATTAAACTAAAATCTCTCTGGAAGAAAAGAACTACAGAGATTGTTGATTTCATTGTAGTTATACTACACACAAGACTAATCACAAGCGGTCATTGTAGGCCCTAAGTTGATTGGTTCATTTTTTGACTGGCCAGCAACTACTTTCACAATAATATTCTTGCATAGATATATTTATTACTATGACCAGATGAGCATACAAAATGTAGAATTTGTGTTTTTTCTCTTGTGAAAATGTTTTCTTTCACTTGACTTTTACACCTTACATTTTGGAATCTTCTTGAACCGTTTCTGAAACACAGAAACAGTTAAATTAGTATGCCTACACTTACATCATTTAAAAGAACATGGTTCAAACAGCATATTTTTCAAAACTTGATATTTTCATTTCATTTTGTAATTCGATGATTTAAAGTATCCTTCACAGCTGAGCTTTAATTATAAATGATAATAATAATAAATTTATTTTATTTTTATACAGCACCAAAAGGTTAAATAATTTAAATTTAACCCTTATGCTCAGCTGTAAGGATGGTTCTTTACCAATTTTATCCTTTGGTGCTATGTAACAGAGAGACTCACTTATTATTATTTGTAGTACAACTATCTGCCGATTTGTAGAAATTGGAATAGGTTTGGGCTTATGACACGCATTTATTCTCAATTGAGCCTAATAGAACCTGGGTCTCATTTTAATCGCTAGTAGCTTATTCCAATATGAAGGAATAAGAAGGAATTATTTATCTGATAGTGATTTTTCCATACATTATCAATACAATACAGTTAGTTTAAATTAGATTAGCAACATTTTTTAACAAGGTTTATGTGCAGATATGATTAAAGTAGAGCCTATGGAGGCTCATATTCATCACAAGGACATAGATGTCACAATGGAGGCAGGTGGTGGTTCAGCTATTCCGCAGTCATCTGGTGGGAGTCATCCATCCACAACCATAACCAGGTATAGATTCATCCAGTGTCAAGTTGATTTAATTTCACAACACTAGTGTTATACTAATCAAACATGTAATATTGAAGTTCAGGTGCATTGTGCATACTGGATTATTATATTATTAGTTAATATTTCATCTCATCAGTTACAAGAACAGCCCAATATATATGCTGAAGATCACCTATTTTACAATTACAATTGGACAATTTGTTTGATGTTTTCTAATTCGAAAAAAACAGCTGAACAAAAACTACCTCAGAGATGCACTAGAGGTACCTAAACTTTCTCTCCTGGAGCGCCGAGATGTGAAGAGAGTTAAACCAATCAGACCTATTCCAACATACATACAATCTGATGCCGGCTTTGGAGACTTTGGAGTTGGGCTTTCGTCTCCTATCAGTCCCACATATGGTAAATCCTAGCTACAGTATGATTTAGCCATCACCAACATCTTGGATTTTATCAGATTTTTCTCTATTTATTTCAAATCTATGCTTCCACTTTAAAATAGCACACAACTTTCTATTACAGCTCTACACAGCCCCCTCTCTAAAATGGACGTGTCAACACCAGGAATCTCTCCTCACGCTCCAGCCTCTGCTCCTGCCTTTCCCATGACTGAACCGGTCTTTGCTTTTCCACCAAATCAGATGTTTAAGCTCCCTGCTGGTGTCTTGAGTCCAATCCCTCTACAACCCCCTCCAAAACAAAATAGGTCGGTTATTTGAGTTGACATTTTACTGTTTTATGTTAAGATATTTTATTGTAACATATGTTGCTTTGAAAAAATATTTGACCATTCAATATCAAATATTAATTATTTGTTTTTAAAGAGTTATCTCAAGTTTCCACGAATCTCAAAATTCGATCGTGCTCATTTTGTTTGACAACAACGTTTAATGGCATATTTGATTAAGTGTGGCCGTGGGTACTTACTATAATCGTCAGGTAACACCATTAAAATCAGGCATCATATTAAAATCAGGCATCTTGTTTCCATCTCTGAGCTTTTAAATGGAGCCTACATTCTGCAACTACTCACACTGCACCCTCATCAAAACAACATACCATTTTCTAAAACATTCCCTGTGGTGACATCACTCCAATTAATGACAATTAATTGGAGTTCTTCCCGTATACTTCCTTGACATTTCCTTCTTTGTCTGGCAAACAAACAGCTGTGTATCAATCTAGCTGTAGTGTAAATTATTGTGTAAACTAACTGTATATCGTGGGAGTGTGTGTGTACACCACACTGGTAGTATTATTATCTGCTGTCTGGGATAGAGCTGTCTGTAAATTACCTGTAGAACTGTCTGTAGCTACTATGAGTTAACTTATCTGCTACTTAGTCTATTATTACTGATACAGCTAGACTATTACTAAGTTTATCATTACTCTTACGTGTACTGCCTGATTCCTTATATTAACACTTTTAGTAGGAAAGTTAGCTGGTAACTGTGTAATATTATCCAGTTGCTGTCTGCTGTGTACATGGTGCATGGTTATTATGTTAATCTTTAATCTTTATATAACTAATAATATTACTATTAATATAACTAGCTACCTTACAAGACATATTTATAACGTACGAAATGTGGCGGTTTTCCGAAAATTTCGCCATATTTTCGGACCGCCAAAATTTCGGTCGTCGTAATAGAATCCGTCGCATTATCTTTTAGCTTATTTCAATGACTGTGCCTTCACTGCTTTATTTTGTTTCTAAAAAGTAATATCAAGTAAAATAAATAAATAAATTCTGGCATCTTGGGACAAATTATCACCACACCAATGACGAATTGAATGTCAAGCAATACAGTTTAAATTTGCATTAAAATACATGTATGTGCTAACATGAAAGTCTTACAGTCTTAATACAGACTAAGTTTGAACATGATTTTACCGAATTTCAGAAATTTCCTTACTGCTTACTGTCACAAAAAATGATGAAAAATACCCTTATTTTCTGTGACGTCCGAAATTTGACGGTTTTTGTTCAATTTCGCCATATTTTCGGACCGCCAAAATTTCGGTCGTCGCAAATTAGGCCGCCATAAATATGTCTTGTAAGGTAGTAATATTCATACTTCATAGACAGTCCAAGTTGTAATAAGTCCGCATCAGAGACGTGATATTATTGTAGGATACAACTACAAGACATAATATAACCTTACAATTTGCGGGTAAAGCTGAGCTAGAATATTATAAAAACGAAGCTGTCCTACATTTAGATCCAAACCTGTTAAACTCTCCAGATTTAAAAACTTTGACTAATTGGAATTTTAATAATTTCAGGCATTCCTTATTTCCGACAACTCAGTCGTCCAGTATTGACGCGGCGTTATACCAGAACTTACTGGCTGGCCTACAAGCTGACAGCGTCAACGCACTCAGTCTCAGCCCTAGGTATTGTCTTATTGTCTATTTTCGAGCATGATCATCATTTTAATATATCTGTTTTTTATGGACCGTTATAGACACGAGCTATATGTTTCAATGTTAACTTACAGTGTCGTATTTAGACAGTGGTAAATATTTTCTTTGATGTGAAATCTTTACTATCACGAATGATGAAGCGTTTTCATTATCATTAAAATCGTTGGAAACCTTTTTCTGATCGGGAAATTCTTTGACTCGATCTTTACTTCTGTCAACAGGTGCTTCCGCTCGCCGAATCAGAATAAATCGTACGCTATCTCAAACTTATTGTCTAACGAGGAGAAGAACCCATTTTCCAGCAGCAGTGCTACCACTTTTACATTCCCTCCCCGTGCAGGTTTAAAGACTTTAATAATTTTATTTGATTATTTACAATTAAATTACATTTGAAATTACATTAATTTAATCACATCACACAGTACACCACATGAAATATAATATGACATTTCCAATTTCGTGTTAGGTGTCCAAGTATCCGAAGTATTTACATTTTAGAGCAGCAATTTTGTGCTTCAGATTAACAAATTTCTCTGCACTTGACTTGGACCACTTGAAGGGTGATTTGAAATGTGTTTTGAGAAGGACAAGGTGTTTAGTGACTTAATTCTAACTCCGAATTAAAAATAACCCGGATGCGTTTCCGGGACTATATTAATATAATCCCGCAGTATATCGGCCCCAAAATCCATACTTATCTGGACTTCCTGATCCTGGCGGAACACTTCCTTTATGTTCTTCACCTTCACCACTTTTACCATGCCACATTTCCAAATGATCTCATTACAACAGGACACAGGATTCCTACAACACCATGATGTAATAACATTCACACTTCCTACCACGAATCACCTACACACACACACATAATATCACAAGGATCAGGTGCAGTGGGAGCAGGTTTCTCAGGATACTTGGTCAGGAATGTTATCTGTTAAAATATTCGTTAATTTGCACGTACAGGGTGATAACTAACGAAAATCAATTATTAAATTAATAATGAAATCCTGTGTGTGGTGGTTGCCTGGCGCGGTCAGGTCGCTACACTGACTCTCGGGTACCTTGTTATATATTATACCTAAATCATCTTGAGTTATTTTTCGTTATGACGTTATTATCTCCACTGTTAAAATCTGCAATGATTTAAGTTTGCGCTTTCCTGGCCAGAAAATGCTCGCTCTAGGATTCGTTTAAATATAATGTGATATCTAACCGTGGGATTTTGTATTTTATGTTAATTATCGGTCAGTCAAAATGGTATCTGGTTTTGACTGTATCCACATGATGATAGTGTAAGCTTACACGTGACATCCACAACAACACAATCCAACATTCACATTAAATTACAGGCGTCGACTCGGAGAACAAGCGTAGGACCATGTCGCTCTCATCTGAAACTCATTAAATTGCAGGCGTTGACTCGGAGAACAAGCGTAGGACCATGTCGCTCTCATCTGAAACTCATTAAATTGTAGGCGTTGACTCGGAGAACAAGCGTAGGACCATGTCGCTCTCCTCTGAAACTCATTAAATTACAGGCGTTGACTCGGAGAACAAGCGTAGGACCATGTCGCTCTCCTCTAAAACTCATTAAATTACAGGCGTTGACTCGGAGAACAAGCGTAGGACCATGTCGCTCTCCTCTGAAACTCATTAAATTACAGGCGTTGACTCGGAGAACAAGCGTAGGACCATGTCGCTCTCCTCTAAAACTCATTAAATTACAGGCGTTGACTCGGAGAACAAGCGTAGGACCATGTCGCTCTCCTCTGAAACTCTACTCACTGTCCCTGGTGGAATTGTTAGCCCACCTATTACTCCTAAAAAGACTGATACTGTAAGTGTGCTTTTAATAAATCACAAATTTTATCTTTAGTTTTTAAGTGCTTTTAGACGATTTTTAAAATTAACTTGGTGAGATTTACGCGATTCGTTAAGATTTAAGATGTGGGAAGGGTATTACAAATTTTAAGCGTTACGTTAAGTAGAACTGTAAGTAAAGTACAATGGTTTAAACCTAGCACTAAAAACTATAGTGTGCTATACTATATATAGTGTGCTATACTATACTATGCACTAACTTATTTAGAAAGAACTCTGCTCAACAATCAACAAAAACTTGGATCTTAAACTTAAAGAAATTCCAAACATTTTTCCGTCTATCAGTATCATTGTTTTCTATTATTACATACCGTATTCCTTAATATGAAGATTGAACAAGTCTACAAATGTTCAATCTCAACAACAGTAAAAAATCACCGAGATTGCTTGGCATTGTGCCATGCCCGGGCCCAGATAGTAGAATCCCAGGCACTACCATTATATTTAACGCATGTGACCATGTGTAGACTCATTATACCATATTAATTTCATTACCTTCAATTATTATACCATTTTGATCGAACTGCGTCGTAACAGTAAGAGCATTCTACTCATTAAGGACTCGCTAAAAGATCATGCTTCTGATTTTATATCAAATTTTGGCATTTTTCCAGGCGAATATCACCGACTGATGAGACACACTGTCTTATGTGTCATGAAATTTAATTTGTGTTCGGTTCTGATATCAATAAACTGCCATGTCGATGTCAAATTAAAAAGTATGACGATTTTTCAAGTATAATTATTAGAGGCCGTGAAGTTACCCGGAACGTATAATGTCAAAAATATATTGGAACAGTATACGATATTGGGAATGTATAATTAAAATTTCCATTTTCCGGTAGGTTAAATGTCATGGGACACATACTGGTGAAATATAATGTGCGCCTTTAGAACTGCCATCGTTATACACTATCACATTTTTTATCGAAAGCATTTTTAAGAAAATTCCTTATCGGCCTTAAGTTTTCCGGACCTAATGTTTTTATCAGATGGGCTTCAGAGAAAACCGTTGGGTATCAAAAAAGGACAGAATAATTTAAGGCTGGAAAATTTGGGTCGCTTAAAATTCTGTCCTGTTTCTTGTTCTGGAAACATGTTCTCGGATTAAACGTTGACGGAAATGTTAGGTATGTTAATCTCTCATGATATAATATGTCAAAAATCACAATTTGTCAGATTTTAACCTTCGTTTTTGACTTCAAACAAACTTTTGCTTCCTCAGCTCCATGTATAATTTAAATCAGTTTTGCTCTCATAAACGATCCAATATTTAAACATCTTAAAACTAAATCTGCCTAAATATGTAACAATCCATCTAGACAATGCAAGGCAGAGTGTTCATAGATTTTAGGTTTAATACAAATTTACTACGGTGAACATTATAGTAAATTAATACAGTAAATTATGGTATCGCATCAATCGAGTCTGCAAAAACTCTCCCCCGCAAAAACATGGTCTCAGTTTGCAAACCAATATCCAACAAAAATTTATTTTTATTCAGTATGAAGAAAATAGCGATTTTTTTTCTCGCAAAAAGTAAAAATGCAGCTGGTTATTGATATTCAGAAAATGTGAATCTCAGACATTTGCCCACTAAGCTATCTACCAGTGCAAGTATACAACTTATTGCACAATTTCCGAACTCTCTAAACCAAGTTCTCTCTCTCTCTCTCTCTCTCTCTCTCTCTCTCTCTCTCTCTCTCTCTCTCTCTCTCTCTCTCTCTCTCTCTCTCTCTCTCTCTCTCTCTCTCTCTCTCTCCCTCCCTCCCTCTCTCTCTCTCTCTCTCTCTCTCTCTCTCTCTCTCTCTCTCTCTCTTTCTCTTTCTCTTTCTCTCTCACTCTAACTCCCCTTAGATACTAAAAGCCCATGTTCCATCTAAAAATAGCTACTCCCAATTATAAAGGGTTACTCCCCCGGTCCACCACAATACGGGCATCACCACACCAGGGTAAACCCTCAAGAGACGTCCCCCAGCTCTCAATTGACATCATAACGAGTATTTTGACCTTGTAAGGTATAAGAGAAGATGTTGTAAACATTATGTCGGGGGAATGGTGGGAGTGGAAGTAGATGACGGTGATCTTTCAGCTATCTCTACCTCTCTAGCCGCCGGATACGGTGGTGAACATTAAAGCGCGCTGTGTTACGTCAATAGTTAAAGAGAGAAAGATGGATTTAAGTGCCAACCAACAGAGGCAATTTGAAATTGAGGGAGGATGCTAAGGTGTGTCTGAGCTGGAAGTCAAGTTCTGCGATATAATAATATATATTAGTAGGGGTAGTCAAGATGCGAACAGTATATATTATATTTAAATGGTTTACTTAATTTTTGGATTATTGCTACATGGAGGAGAGAGTTCTATAAACGATTTATTTTAGTGCCGTTTAAAGCCCGCCATCAATCACGAGATTAACTCAGCAAAGGGCTAGTTTTCTGCTTTTTCCTCAGCTGAGAAATAAGCGTGACTTCAGAGTCACGTGATCAAAGTGCCCATCACGTGATATGTGGCAAGTTTACTAGGTGATAAGTTGCAGTCCCTTACTCGACACCATGATAAGATGTTCACTTTTAAATACCACAGAGACCTCAGTCCCGACCAACTTGTGTAGTGCATGCAACGTGTAATGTGCATCATATTCGTGCAACAAAGATTCCTTTCAAGACATGCATTCAATAAAATCGTATAAGTATGAACTTTCACCAAAATGACCCGTCTAGTGTAAGCCTCAGCTGCGAACTTCACATCCAGGACAGAGCCTAAATTCCATCCCAACCGAGTATTACAACTCTACAGTCTACACGGTACAAAGGTCCGTACATGTGATGTTATTGAAGATATGTGGTGCAACAGATGTGCTGTACTAGCCACGCCACTAGCGACGCGTATATTATATAATATACCTTCCCACCGCACACTGCTCTGCTAAAACTAGTGAACCCTAATTACTACATAATTACAGCTCAATTACCAGCCAATTAGCAGAGATAAAACCAGACCATTTAGCTCAGACAACCTCACGTCGAGTGTCCAGTGCAGTAAACACAGGTACAATGTACATGTACAGCTCCCGTCCAAATCAAGGATCCTACTCGACTTAACCCAGTTCGATCCGGGTTGCTAATGCTTCGCCCTAGTATACTTATAAATATATATTTAAAGTCACGTGCTGCCATAATAAATCCTTGGATCACTTTCGTGTATTGTCTTCTCTACACTAATTATCCCATATATGGCTAAATTGGATCTGTACGGTTTGGTAAGATTTGTGAGTTACTGCATCTACATTATGTCCTATCAGTAAGACCATACTCGGAGTAGGGGAATATAATAGGCTTAACTAAAAGTCTCTGATAGACTTATTGAACGTGATGTGCGTCAAGTGAAAGGCTCCTCTCGCACTAACTAATATCCTCGTTTATTGTTGTATCCTTGGTATGAGGGCAAATTCCTCAACTCAAAAGTAAATGAATGCAGTCTGTATTAGCCATGTACGTGGGGCCTCCATACCTGGTTTATATACTGAATGATAGATTAATATTAGATTACGGTTAGAAATGTGGCTTTTGTTTTCGAATGAGATTACTTTAAACTGATAAGCTAGCAGATGCAGATGAGACTAACCACGTGACACTACATGTATTGCTGACTCGAGACAAAAGTGCTTAGCCTTAACATTCGGAACTGCATCATCCTATGAGGGCACATCCAATACTGCTAATACAAAACTACACCCTTCACCTCACGAACGTCGCACACCTTGCTTATAAAAATAGCATCCAATTAAATGGGCCAAGTATTATTATAAGCACTTAAAATTACAAGATAAAAGCCATTATCAAAAATAGGATAATTTGATTAACTTAGGTCTGCCAAAATGTGTACCAAGATATGGGTTATTCAAGTGCTTGGAAGATACTCATTTTTAATGTTTCTGCACGATATTCGAATTACACTTGACTTACACTTGACTTACTGAGCTGTGTGGACAAAGAAAGAGAGCTCGAGCTGTTCTCTATCAGTTGAAATATCCGCGTGTGTGTCCAGAAACGTGTAAAACATTTATCGAGATATTTATTTACTTTGGGGTCCGAAGCTCAATTAATTAAAATCCCCCACTTAAGGGACGGCTCTTCGTGCTCCCTTGCATATCACCGCCAGTGATTGGATCTCTGAAGTCACGTGGAGCCTGTCGGGGGATCGTGGTTGGTCGCGTTTTGAACCAACTCGGGTCTCGGCTGTAATCTTATGGTGAATGGCCGTACTCTGAATGGAAATGTTCGTGTGATGATCTCCTACATGTAGAGGTTACCACAGTGTCACCCCACGTGTCACCCCTCGTGTCACCCCTCGTGTCACCCCACGTGTTAGAACACGTGTTAGAACACGTTTTAGGAGACATACTTGGTTATGTGAACATATGTGATATTTTATAACTATAAGAAATCGTGTTCAAAATCTATCTTCTTTTTCAGTTTATGACTTAGAACCTTGTAACTTGGCAACAATGTTCTTCAAGGTATTTTGGGTTTTTGTTATGTAACGATTTATGATATCTTGCTCCAAAGCTGAGATATGAGGTTAACCATGAGTGCGGGTTACAAAATTTAAAATGGTTAACCTCATAAAAAGAGTTAGGAGCAAAATTACAACAATCGTTACATAACAAACTTTTAAATTCATGTCAGGAACATAAGTTCCAAATTTGAGGTGAAATGGATAAAAACTCTAGGAGAAGATAGATTTTGAAGTCAAAAATTCGAGGTTTTCAGGAGAGGCAAAAAACTGTTTTTTATGTTATGTGATTTTTGAGAATTTTGCCTTTATTTGTATATTTTTCAAAGTTTAACTGCTGAAATAACACAAAAACAATAAAAACAAAGCTTATCGTAGTTTTCAGTTGTAATGGCATCAATATTTCTGCCCTCCATTGTCGATTTATCCTTAAATACCACGATCAGAACAACCATTATACCGGAGGAAGTACTTAAGAGTTTTTTAAAACTATATAAAAATTCAAATTTGTATCTTGATAGATACGGCGAGAGATTACCGTTTACTGGTCACCAGTAACTACCAAATTATTCGTATAGATCTCAGTATTCACTACAACCTCTCTCCCTGAAAAGTCGCATCATGTGGTCGATTGTAAATAAAATCCTAAACCTTAGACCAGTAAAACACGGTATTAGACCAGTAAAACACGGTATTAGACCAGTAAAACACGGCATTAGACCAGTAAAACACGGCATTAGTAGAGACACTGAAGTGTGACCAGGATTGTTGAGCCGTGTAGTTACTCGTTTAACTTTAACCCTGTAAATGTATTCTACGATCAACGTTTGATGAACAAGATCTCTAGTTGAACGATGTAAAATACTACGCTATGATAATCAACAAATCTAACCACTTTTTATAAGTTATAATTTAAAGGACCACTTCTGTAATGTGCCACCATCAACCGCAGGGGCGACAGCTTGAAAATGATAGTTTCTTAGGAGCGGTAAACTTTGTTCAACATTTTAATACCGGGTATCTGTACAGAGAGGGAAAGCTGTCTTTATACAGGCTACAGAGAGAGAGAGAGGGAACTATACGGATCATATAATGATGGGTGTGCCGAGTCAAATTACAATTTCTTTGAGTTAAAAGCTTCGTCAACATTTGATCATTAATTTCATGGCAGCTTCTTATCATTCTCAGAATTACTTCCCCTCGTGCCTTAGCATTTTAAAGCAATGCTCAAATATAAAGTAATGGCTTGTTGCTGCCCACGAGGTTCTTCAGAGGAGGTCAAATGAGTAATATAATAAATATATGTATTTATATAATAAATTCTGTAACGTTTTTATAAAGTTGAGGGACTCTCGCTTATAAAGCAGCTAATAGTAATATATTATCCTACCAAACTAATCTACAGTATAAGCTTCAGTATCGGTCCGTAAAGTCTTGACCCCCTTTCTTTGCAAAACTTTTTTATTCAACCGGTTGGTATTGGAATAATTTTATCTGATCTTTGTAATGCAATGATTGACGCACCTCTATATTGAATAATTTATCTTTCTTGTGCAATAACTGAAGCGCCCTTTTTGCGTTATTTATGAAATATTTATCTTCCTCGATAAACGATTGGCGCACCTTTTCTACGTCAATAAATCATGATAATTTGATGATAATTTATAATCAATAACTTATTGACCATCATAAATAAAATAGCGTTTTATAATGATAACAGTATATATTAAGTAACAAACCTTTATAATGCAATGATTTACGTAACACTAATACTAATAGAATTTCTACGCACAGTGCGTCACTGCACAGTAATGGAAATGTTCTAAAAGAAGTTAACTCCGCTAGATATTGGTCCCTGTATTTGTCAATCCTTTGGGGAAAGTTTTAAAATTGAGGTCATGGCCGAGCTGAGGGAAGTGATTTAAAATTCTACCAAAGTAGGGAAAGTAAACCAAGAAACAGTTCCTCAAACCAAGGTATACTGAGGAATGATTCCTCAAAACCAATGAACTCGATTACCTGAACACTGTAAGAACTAGAGCGACAGTTCATACATCCCCACTCTCAGCGCTCCTTCCTGCAAGTGTTAAGTAAGATAAGACCTGGTCGTGTCTAGCAAGGAGTTATTTGTGGCATTTAGAGGCCCTACGTTGATTTGTTCCTAACTCAACGTGTCTGCTTATATGTAGATCTTTTAAAGCCCTACCTACACACGCCACAAATAGCGTTAATTAATGGTAATTCCTGTGTAATTATGGTAATTCCTGTGTAATTATGGTAATTAGGGTGCTCAAACCATGAACACAAATATCACTGCAGTTTAAGTCATTCGATCCCAAGTCGTACATTCTCACAATATATTGACTCATATCACGCATATTGTATTGTATGGGGAATAAAGGTTTGCTTATAATAAGTCATTACGTGACATACTACAGGTTAACACTTGGTAAATGACAAGTATTCAGCCTACATTCCAACATGCCAAAGAAAAACACATCCATCTTGTATTTACACCCACCACGCACTCCGAATACCACAAATACCACATTTTACATCAGTTGATAGACAGCCCATGATACAACATATAACGGTGTGTACTACCTGTGGTAATAACTTTGCGAAGGAGCAGACAGCAAATGTACAATACGTATTTACGTGTCTGCCCTACCCGGAAGCAGATAATCGAGTTATGGCTTGGTGTGGGCGTTACTGTATCAGGCGAGGTTAATACTGTATCTTGGGAGTGTGAGATACGTGATATAATGTAATGTAGAAGAATGCGAATGTGTGTGTGTGTGTGTGTGTGTGTGTGTGTGCACTGTTTTGGATTCGTTATCTTCTGAACTTCTTTCTGCAGAATTTCCAGCAGGAAATGAATATATATCTGTATGACCAGAAAACAATGCCCAGGCCCGCCCAGGCCAAAAAGATTTTAAAAGTGATATTTTTCTTCGGAACCACCTTAGCCCGCAGTACAAAAGGAAGAATGTTTCCACAGAATCAATATCCACCCGAAAAACCCATTCCATTTGAAACGGTCCTCAAGAAATACCAGTGTTATTATTTATTAAACCTGTAATCTGTATCAGTTAGTATTTTAGATAACCCAATAATATCAATTTGCATTCACCAGCACCATAACAACCGAATATTTTTGGGATTTTCCTACAGCATTGGTCTCCTCGACAGCTAATACCTACTATCTTCCCATTGATATCCTGTACCCTGCCTAGTAGTTTCCAATAATTTTAACCATTATTCGTGCTCCCACCCTATCTTTACCCCCTTAAATCGGTCGTTGCCATGGTAATAGTGTAACCGGACATTTAGTCGCCCCAATCCTATATGGTAACTGGTAACTGGTAACTGGTTACTGGAAGAATTATTTGAATAGAATTGTTAATCGTAATCCCTATCTTTAATGAACTAGTGTAGGCTGCAGCTGGGAACCAGTATTTTATGAAATATGTTTTTATCAATCAATGCTATTAATACCTTAATAATCATTATTAAGCTGTTAAAATGAGATCAAAATATGTGCATATATGGTTCGATTTTGAATGAAGTTGTTCTAATTCCATTCCTTTATTAAATAAGTTCTATTTTGGGAAGCGAGTGCTGAAACCCAGTCGTCTGCCAACCTTATTCGGGTACATTTCAACAAATAACTTTTGCGTCAACGTTCAGTTAAGGAATTAAATACTGCAACAATCATTTCTTAAAGAACAGGCAATTTTCCCATATTTGCATGCATCTCGAAGAAAATTATAGTCACAAGTGCTGTCATGTGTTAAAAGATGGTTAAATGGTGGATTTATTTGCGTAGAAATACGTCAGCCAAGGAATTTTCCGTCTGACTCTGACAGTTTTTGGTCGTATTAGGCAATGGGGAATATTCAATGCAAAGAGTTATTCTTGCTGGCGTTAAATCTGAAAGGAAAGACAAAATAGATTTTGTAACCAATGCAATATCCATGAAAATAAAACTTTATTTCTAATTTCACGTTTCTTTTCAGAGTTCAGCCGAAGATTCCGATTGTAACACGTGTCGACAAGTCCAGAAAACGAACGATAGAACTCAGGTAATTAACTTCAATTAGCTTCAATTAACCTCAATTAACCTCACTCAATTCATTCCTAACTAACGTAAATATTTATTAACGGATTATCAGCACGACTGAAAAACGACGGCCACATAATGTCTATTTTGGTTGATTAAGGGACGGCAATTAAATGTATTGGAACACTGGAGATATGTTGCACAATTAAAAATGCAAATTATTAATTAGTCAAATGATTTGAGATTTCATTGATGAGTTAATTTCAACTTTTTGTGCAAATCTTGTTTTGATTTTAAATTAATTTTCACGGCCGTCTGAGCATCGTGCACGGGATTTCCATTAACTTTCTTTACGCTAAGTTTATCCCTGATTCTGATAGATCATGTTACCGATCTGGGGCATGATCGATTAAGATCATGCTATAAAAAGCTGTTACTATAAATTTTATGCTACTTAACAGCTAAACAGTGACAATACACTCCATCTATTCATGAATATTGTAAAGCTCAGGCCAACGTTGAAAAGCGAAGAAAAAAAACAGGGGACGCGATGATTTAGTTCTAATAAGCAACGGATCTTGTGTATATAATGTCTATTTTTAGCCGTAATGTCATACGATCTTTCCAACGTTCCCTGTTATTTTCTGAGTCATACGTGTTATACACAGCGTCCAGCAAGGTCGCAAGGTGATTATTATTCAGTTGTTTGGAAAGACTTATAACGGAATTTAAATGGTATTTTGTAACGGAATCTTTGAAAGTTTGAGCTGAATGAGATACTTTGTGATGTAGAAGGTACTTAACGTAGCAAGGGAAACAGTTGGGGAGGATTTGTAAAAACTAGTAAAAAATGCATGTTATCAGATCTACAATTAACACATAATTACGTTAAATAACTTGATTCCTTGCAGTATGTAGGACCGCGGCTTGCGCGGTACACTTTGTTCGGTACTTTTAGAACTGAGCCCTTAATTTCAGAACTGTTATTGTCAGTTGTTGGGATTGTCCAGTTCCCACACCAGAATGTGTATTGTAAATTCAACCGAATAGTTACTGTGTAGTGTGCACTCAATGCGTTGGGCGCACCTTAAATGCGTTATCTGTAAAGTGTAAATTTGAGGTGCACTTTATGTGTAATGATCTGCAAATCTGAAGCGCACTAAAATCTGGTCTACAAATCAGAAACCCTTTGAAGCGTTTAATAATCTGAATTATGCACGTCAATGACCTGCGCATCAATGATCTCTGCGACAATGATCTGTGCGACAATGAATTGTGCGTCGGCTGAAGCACACTAACACGTAATGATCTGTGTGTCTAAAGTACACTAACAGTTTATATTTTCAGGGCACCAGAGCACTGTGTTCTACTTGTCAGCGAACGTTCTATCTTCTCGGAAGGTGAGGATATTATTTGATTTTTATCTGCCAATTAGTTAATTGTATTTAAAAACCTAAAACATGGCCAAATCAAGCACTCCCTGAACGATGCACGACCATGTTTTTTTTGGCGACTTTTACTTTGTTGTGACATGATATACAAAGTAAAAGAAAACTTTGACTAATGAATATTGGTCAGTAGCTAAAAATACTAAAAGGACACGTGTCAAAACAAACCATCGTCACCTCCACAAAGAATTCACCTCTGGGAAATCACTTTGACAGGTCTCCTCCTCAGCAACTGTAATATCAGTGGATATAGATTATAGAATCAGTCAGGATGAGGTGGCACACATACAGACTGATTCTGTATGTGTTGTGTGTGATATAGTAGGGATAAAGCGGGGCTGAAGCGTATTTGATTGCCACCCGTCACCACATGCAAACTTAGACTTTCAGTTCGCTGAATTGAGAGCAATTTGTGAAAAATTTAGAAATAACGGATCAAGATATGAATTACAGGTCCATTCTGTCGCAATTGCCAATATATTCAACATCTTTAAGACTTCGTAAAATTACTCGATAAGCCATAATTCGGTCCGCAGTTGAGATTTAATTTGCCAAGGTATTAGGTCATGTAATGCAGCTTCTTAATATTACTATAGTTCTGTTGAGCGCAGTAAAAGTAACACAATTTACTTACTTTCTGCGAAAAGTTCAAAGCGAAAAAGAGTTGTTATATTAATAAGATGTCATTTAGAAGGCCATAGTAAATCTATACTTGGTTAGTAGGTAGGGTCAGTAAGCATAAATATAAAACCATCTGGGAACTTATTTGCGACAAGTATTTCTGTGCTGGAATATGTTGTCCTATAGTCCTATTATTAACCACCCCAAAGACTTGTAAATGTAGATCTGATGGGCTCAGAAATTCCTTAGGCCGTATTCTGCAGAAGATCTCAAAAAGCGATCTCCTCAAAAAAATCAAAACTGCAGCATTCCGATTTCTCCATTCACTGTATTTTTGGGAAGATAAATTTACATAATATCGAGAGTCGTGACTGTATCCCTTCCTGATGATCACCCATGATACAGAGAGACATTGTAGTTATGATTATTATCGGGAGATGTACTCAGGCCCCGGTTTAGGCTCCTCCCCACCTAGACTGCAGCTCACGTGTTCCCTGTTGCCACACCACGTGACATCACGTGACTTGTGACATGACGTCACGTGACTTGTGACGTGGTGTAAGTTAACCAGTCTTCTCAACGATTGCACCACCTGGATACATGTGTTTTGTGTGGTGACGATACCTTAATTATTAGAGGGCACTTGCAGAATAGTGCACTGAGTTAGGCAATAAGGGCGCTGTGTTTGCAACATAATGTCTCTCCTGCAAGGCATGTGCAATCAGAAGTGTGGTGACCCTAGCCTACCACCCCAGCTGTGTTATATTTATTATATACCATTTCTACAAGTCACGTGACACTTTCTCGACGTTAAGGACCTGATAGCATGACGTTATATTGTGAACGTGTACAATGACAGCCCCTGCATCTGTCCCACCCTCTATCTGTCCCACCCTCTATCTGTCCCACCCTCTATCTGTCCCACCCTCTATCTGTACCACCCTCTAGTCTATCTGTCCCACCCTCTATCTGTCCCACCCTCTATCTGTCCCACCCTCCATCTGTCCCACCCTCTATCTGTCCCACCCTCTATCTGATCCATGTTTCAGTACCAGGTGTCTGAATACCACGCAGTAAGCAGGTGAATTATAACATAGTAGAGATTCTCCTAAATTCACAGGATCCAAGACAGTATTTCACACGATAAAAAATTACACATATTAAGTGAGCTGCAAATGTTGCGGCAGGTTGGAAACATATATTGCATATTAATAGAAGAATGGAACATATTATATTCAGTACTTCGGACAATATCGTGGAACTTTGGCAAATTGGAGGGCTATAGAGACACTATTCTGGCAGATTTAACTCGTTGCCATTCAATTACTCACCTACAACAACCTGATTTTCATAATTTATCGAATTATATTTTATTTCTGCTTCTATCCCATTATATGAACCTATGATTCCGTATAATATAACGCCGAAATATATAGTCGAAACAAAAATAAAAGTAACATTTATAGAAGCTGGCCGGATAGTAACTTTAATAAAACCGTACAATGTCGGAGAAGCTTTTAGCTGGTGGATGATGTAATCGCGGATAATATTAGTTTCGTTGACAGCTGAAACTTTGCCAGGTAAGGGAGGCTCATGGTATTGAACTTTGGGAAGCCCTGTTTTACGTGTCGTGTTATTCTAATAGTCACAATCCCGTGGTTTCGGAATCTTTTCTGGGGGTTGGTGTGTGTGCCAAAAATATAAACAAGGAAATTCTCGGGCTGTTGATCTTACTTTATAAAGCTACCACGCCTGTTATTTCTACATCTTTAAAGACTCAAATTATTCTCAGAATTTCAAGTTTATTTGATGTCCATTAAACGAGAATAGTTTGCTCTATCAGGCTCGTAGTTGAACCGAGGGCGTTTCCCAGAGATCACTTACACAATCTACCACAAGCTGGTGCTGTTTTAAAGCGAACTCTTTAAACCAAGCTCTCTCTCTCTAGCTCACTTACTCTCTCCCTTGGTCCACACCAGTTGTTAGGCAATAAAAGGCATAGTTTAGTAGAGCTGTTGCTCCCTGCCTCTGAACCACCACTACAGAGATTTCTTGTGCACTGCCTCCCACGAATTCTGCGGAAATGGAGTTATGTTCCGGTGGTTGAAAATCCTCCATCAGAACGTTGCTTTTAAAACATCTCCATTTTGGTGCCGCCGGTTGATAATATGCGAACTGGCCAGACGTAGATAATGGGTTTAAAGTGGCTTCGTGTTGGGTGGACGTGTTTAGCAGGCGAGGGCCGAGGAAGTGTTTATGTTGTTTACGAGTTACCAAACTGGAGTAAATTTAAAACGTACGAGATGCAAAACATCAAGAGATCAAGAGAGGATTCGAGCAACTCGCCAACTCTGTCTAAAAAATATTAAATATTATAATTATATAAGCTGCCGCACGTTAAAACGTATAAAACAAAACTACGACCCAGCCGAATTTAAAGAGTGTTTTCCTAACTGTGTTTGCTTGCACACAGGAGAAGCAATCAAATCTGGGCTGGTCCCTGTTGATCAGGGAGACACCCTGTTTTGAAGAGAAGGGGGGTGCAGCTGCCAGCTAACCATTTGGTCGCTAGTGACTAGTACCCCCCCCCCCCTCCTGGTCGGCACTCCTCCCTCCCCTGCACCACTCCCTCTCCTCCATCAAATTAGGTTATTACAGTATCGAGATAATATCTAGATATCTCACTTTTAACGAGATCAAATCACGCCAATTTGTTTCCTGTGGAATACCTGGTGTAGTCTGTGGACACCATTTGGCACTTTCTGACCTTGAAGCGTTTTCTTTTGTGGAGTTAGCTTGGAGGGGAGAGGAGCGCTGCAAAGTTATTTTCTTTTTAATAAGCAGATTTTACCAAAATGGACTGGGTTCAAAGTGGTGTAAGTTAGGATAAAATTATGTGGTTGTTGTAGATCATCAGTAAAGTGTACGTCTTATAATACATCTAAGTATTTGTCACCAAGTATGAAGTCATCTCTTCTCTAAACTTAACCTCCCACATTCTTACTCTCTTCCACTCCACTTGGTCACACTCCCCCACTCCACTTGGTCACTCTCCCCCACTCCACTTGGTCACACTCCCCCACTCCACTTGGTCACACTCCCCCACTCCACTTGGTCACTCCACATTGTGATACTTCAAGCCACAGGAAATTTTGCAGACGTAAGGACGTTTCCCTGTGACCAAAACTATTATTAGTCCATTTGAGCGTTAAAATGTTTCTACCCTTCAACAGCTGGCTGTATATTTTATATTGCACCTTGCACTTTGCCCTGTATTAATATGTGACGCGTGTATTTATTGTATTATACATTACCATGTAATTTTAAAGTCAGTCAGCCGAATATTCCTATTTGTGTTGGTTGGATGATGGTCAGTAAAAGACGAATCTAAAATCTTGTTTTCTAGAATTTTGTAAGCAATGGTTACTGGTTTATATTAGGTCACTTGGAGGAAAACCTGTTTTAAAAATTTGTTTGTTTAGTCTCTTATTTGAAAGTCATGAACAAACCAAATAATTTTTCGGGCCGACCTAAAAGATGGTTCTAAAATTATTAAGAAGAGTAAGAATTTTGGTTTCTCTTACATCAATATTTCGAGATCACCATTATCGATTATATTATGAACATTTTTTCCACATCCATATAATTACGGTTTTGTAATCATGGTGTATTTTAATCCGTTAAAAATTCATTTTTTTGTGTATTGGACGAATGAATAATGACGTTGGTGGAGCAATTAGATCCAATTTCATCATCCCACTGAACTGTAATTGTTCAACCATTTCAATCAGTCAAACCTTGATAAATGAACAGAGATGACATTGTAATTTTCACGGAATTATTAAATTTGTTGTCGGATTTCTCATGAACGATGAATATGACATTGATGACATCGCTCACATGGATTAACATGATGAAAATTTAAGAACTTTTCTTAAAGCTACCCTGTAAAGATTCAAATATTACAATCTCTTTGGAGAAATTGAAAAATTTCCAATATTTTTAAGGACAAATATGTGTATAAACCTGAAAAAATTACAAAAATTTTGAATTTTAACTTTCTAAATCAGCAATAATCTACATTATATAATTATGACACAAAAATAATCCAAACTTCAAAGTACTTAAAAAAACGATGCTTTACTACGCAACACACTATAATATTATGCAGTTTAAACTATACACCGTAATATAAATAATCATCATCCATGTCACCACCATAACACTCCCAAGGTACCACGGATCTTATTGAATATATGCGCATAATACAGTAATAAGTAAGCAAGGCTAAATACTACTCCACATCCTGAACCAACAGTTCTTACCTTGCTGTAAATAACAGGCTCAGGTTGAGTTCCTTTGTCTTACACTATTTTAAACTTATGATATCATCAAAAATATTGGACGGCTTAGTGATTCCTCCAACGATCTATGTATGGGTTGTATGAATGCTATTCTTCTAGATTTTATTCTAGTTGGTATCGCCATTCTTCTAGATTTTATTCTAGCTGGTACCGTCTACAGAAGGTAAACAGTTTTTAAACACCTTCCTTTGTACCGGGTATTCTGCCTGAACGCCTGAACACCGACCAACACATATAATTATTTTCACCCGGGTTGCATCATCAGCATAAATAGTACATATTCTATAAACACTTCTTCCCTGCACGGCAAGATGTAGGGTCACGTGACATTTGTTTTCTTGTCACGTGACCACAGCACACGTGATAGGGTAGCAGAGACCACGTGACTGACTTGCTTGACAAGGACGAAGCTAGGTTGATGAGGAGCGTGTAAAACACGATACTTACGATCTTCCTCTCGCTCTCTCTGTGACCGATGTGTGAAGTACACAAAATGTTGAGAGAAACTCGGCTAAATCACTCCCGCCACCACAAAGTAAAAGACCATGAACACCTTGACGAAAAACCGCCCACGTGACACCAAACAGACCACGTGATCCCGACCAGACGTATCTGAATATCACAGCAGCAGCAAGGTCCGGACCGAACCATTTGTGCAGGTCTGTTAACCTAAGTGGCCTCGACAATTCAGTAAATTGGTGTGTGATGTGAAGAACCAAGATGTGGGAGGTCACGTGATATTTAAGGAACCAAGTGGTCAGCAGAGGGTGCTTGAGATGGGACTGTCTAGATTTTAACACCTATAATAATCCTGGAGTGTAATGTCTACACTCTACTGAGTATCGTGGGAAAGGCTTGGTAATTTTCACTTCCCTGCGACTACCACCCGGGCGGTCTCTCGGTTGAAGATGCCGCTCTAAAAGGGGATTTATCCTTTGTTTGTGAACTAGCACATGCTTTTGGGCTAAGAATGTGTTGATTGGAATGGAGATTAGAATGTAATGGAGCTATACTGCTGATCAGCACTTTACTCGTCAAAGATATGCGGGGATATCAGATGTAAATACTAGAACTGAATACTGTATTATATATGAATACTACGTGTATGAATACTTAAAGTAAAAGTTCAGTTACATAGGTGTTGACGTGTTTGTGTGTGTAAAAAACTAACATGTTATACCGTCATTAGTCCCTGACGAACGAACGATAACAAATTCGAACTTTATAAATTTCCGGAAAAACAAAAAACACGCACCATCTTCATTAATATCAGTGCGAGGGGACCCTCACTGCACACCTCAACGAATCTGCAATTAATCACCTACCTTATATTACTCAAAAGCAGGAAAAGGTTTGTTTACCCTTAGCTCTACATCTTTAGTCCCCTCTCAGTGGGGTAAGATAAAGTTTCACACTGTCAGAGGGAATCTCTCCCGTTACAAGTGTTTCCGGCATGTCTGTAATTTAATCGTGGTATTTACCCCCGAATTTCCACCCTATTGCATCATGGCTTTCAATGACTTTGCGTCACCCTGTAGAGCAGTCAAAAATTAAATGTTTTCAAGAATAATTATAGCTTGAACTCTTGGGGCAACGCTGAAGATGGTGGTTTGAGACATTTTAAGGATAAGTTGGTTATTCGTCGTTTCTAATTTTAGAATTGTGAGAGAAGTTGTGAGTCGTAATGCACTTGTTGGCTGAGAAATCGCTAAGACAACGATTAGCACCAATGTAAAAATTAAAATTATGGCGGAGGTGGAATGTGAAAATATGGCGTGAGGAATCTTCGGAATTCATGAGCTCGAGAAAAAATGATAACTGCTCGTTTTATCACACCTGGCTACTTCAGGAGTTTAGAAGAAAGGGCCGTACTGTTTACAATAAGTTAATCAAAACATCGATTACAGCTAAGTGAGTTACCAAAATTGCTGATAAAAAATCAGGCCCCATGATCCAGGTTTCTCTGCCATTTGATCTTTACCTGTTGGAGTTGAACATCATTGGTCTCTCTCATTATCAGTTCAAATTACAACGAGGAAATGAACTTCGACCCCGGCAGGTCCTGAAATAATGAATTTTCTAGCTAATGCCTTATAATTCTTTAGCATCTTCTTACGTTTCGGGAATATTCGCTTATAATAATACGGCTTATACGCAAATAACTTTTTTACGACTTATCATAAAAATACCGTCTGAACAGTAATCGCTAAAAGTGATCTCATCTTCATCCTATACTTTCTGTTACTACGTGCCAGGGTCTTGGAGCACTAAAATTCGGATAATATCAAATTTAGACACATTAATTTATAACTTTATAATAATATGTAGAGACTATATGAGACTAACGACTCATCTCTTTGAAAAAGTATTCATATAAGTATCATATAATATCTTTCTCATAAAAACCATACTTCATCTACATATTCAATGTTCATGAGTCGCTTTAGATGGCTTGAACTGAATCTTTGGATTTTGAGTTCTTTTTGGCTATAAAGCGATGTATAAATTTCTAGTTTTTATTATTCTATATAGAAGACCAGATATCATTAATGACCATGTCAAAAATGGAGGATATTTCAAGGATCGATTTCCATGTGTCATTAATTAAATGTCAATTAGTTTATTTTAATTAACGAGTGTTTAATTAACGAGTGTAATATTTTCAGAGCTCCAGCACTGGGCAGCGTGCCACGTGTGATTGAACAGCGAACACAACAAGTGAAGAACAAACGATCACACAGGTGTGACTACGAAGGCTGCACCAAAGTCTACACCAAATCATCACACTTGAAGGTACATACTTTTATCTGTTCTTAATTTTAAAAGTTTAACCTTCTGTTAAAACTTCTTTGTTTTGTTCTTAAAATTCGTTTTTGTTCTGCCCTTTGTTTGTGTAAAGTTTATTTGTGAACACGCTTTACTTTTTAAAACATCTTCCTACATGTTTTATCATAAGACAATAGCATGTTAAGTTCACTCACGAACACGTCTATTTTCATTTTGTTCGAATTACGAATAATATCCTCCATAATCACTGGTACGTGCGAACATATTTTCAGTACTTTAAAAATGTTTAAAATACCATCTTGTAGGACTGTAGTAAGGACAGTAATGTATGGAGCCGTGCCCAACAGAGTTATTTTACATGTTAGGTGTAATCTGAACACAAAACCATGAACAAAAGTACACATAATAATTCCCAGATTAGTTTGGAATGCTGTACACACAATATCTTTAAATTCCTTTGATATTTGATAGCACTGGACTATAACGTTCTACTACTGTAAAGCCCTACGATACAATAGAGAGGGTGTGTGTGTGTGTGTACTGTGTGTGGAACCATTTGGCATTTTGCATGTGTTCACTTAAATATGAGCACTTTCATTCAATTGTAGGGCGCTAATTTTACATGTTCGAAATCTAGACTGTAGCTTGAAATATGCCAATTAACTGTTTAGTGTATGTCTTCTCAGTTATTCACTTGTAGAATCTCTTGCCACGAGCCGAGCCTACAGTGAAATTTAAAATTTATGAATGACCTGGCGGAGGATTCCACAAATAAATTATAAATTCCCCAATATACCTAAATTCCTCATATATATTTTTACGTCATGGCTAAGTAAGTTCTTTCCCGGGGCCATGCGAAAGTCTTTAACGGCAGTCTATTCGAAATTAGACAAATCTTCCCCTCGATACTAAAGAAATTATTACCGTCTGGCATGTGGTCCTGGTTCTTGATGTCCCGGTCGTGTAATAAAAGGCGGATAAAAGTTTAAACATATCTGTGAGTATCTGAGAAAGGGCCAGCAATTCGCACCTTGGGCCCCTGGATTCCCTTTCCTGGCAAACCCCAGGATATTATGATACAGAACATGTATCGGAGCAAATCCAATTAATATCTCTGGCTCCATGGCGTTGTGTTACCGATGCGGTGTTTTAAAGGGGCGGCGCCGTGCTGGTTGCAAAGATTTCCTAAAATTTAAGTGATGATGATGAAGAGTTGGAGGCGTTAATTGCGGGGCTTATCTTCCTGGCTTAATTGGTACTCAACTGTGTTTAAAGGGTTTTCCGTTTATTATTATTATTATGGGGTCGTTGGCGCGGCCTGTCTTTCATGTCAGAAGTCCAACTTACACACTATAAATATCTCTCTGTCTGTGGTACACGGCAGTTTTAAAAGGGAGAAGTTGTCCTCTTTTAACAGTGTTAGGACCTGTTATAACATTTAATGGATGCTAGAACCTACTTTTAGACCAGCGTATATATGAGAGCATTAACTTTTAAATATTTTGTATTCAAGCAGCACCTTTTATTTTCTGTTTTTATCTCAGTTCGATAGATTTAAAGCACCAGGGATAGTTAAAGGCTCAAGGTCAAAGGTGTTCGGATGTTAACGTAAAAGGTCTAATGAGTTAAGAGCTAGAATTCGAGTAAAACAGTTCTTTTTATTCAGTTATCCTTATTCCAAATACTGTTGTTCATTTCGACGTAAAAAGTCCATTCATGTTGCTATTTTTTTTGTAGTAAACCACCCATATACGGTTACATCTGATAGTAGCTTTTGTTGTGGATTGAGTAGAATATGTGCACTAAAACATTTAAACGAGCCCACGCCCATCTGCGTGATTTAATGGGGTCTACATTTTGCTTATTGCTAGCAAAGTTCGTCTTATTAGCTGTCATGAGGAGAAGCAACCTTATTATCAATGAGTGAGCGCGCAGCGCGCGTCTTACCCATGTGACTGGATTAAATCATGTTGCTTGGCGCCACAGCAATCCATAGCCATGGAGAATCATCGCATATTTGCCGCATCAGTGATCGCAAGATAGGTTAAAATATCATAGTTTATGCTGGAACTGCATGGAAGATCTCCTTCGGTCCGTGGTGATCGACGTTTCTAGAAAGTTTTTCTCAATGACTAGCTTTAGTGGCCACATTTCTACTTTGGACTACCGTACGGACTTCCTATTCCTGTCAAACCATTCAAAACGTTAAAACTGTCGGAGAAGCAACTTCATAGAAAAACGAATTGTATTTGTGTACATGGTATTTTCATTAAAGCATTCCAAAACCAAAATTAAAACCTGTTTGTAACTTGTATATATTTCCAGGCACACAGACGCACACACACGGGAGAGAAACCCTACATTTGCAAGTGGGAAGGCTGCACCTGGAAGTTTGCCAGAAGTGACGAACTAACCAGACATACGCGCAAGCACACAGGACAAAAGCCCTTCAAGTGCAATCACTGTGACAGGTGTTTCAGCCGGAGCGATCATCTGAGCCTCCATGCTAAACGACATTTGACGTGAGTGACAAGGGCCAATTATCAGAGCAACTTATTGCTCTGCTTGATTGGTGTTATGTTAGGTTCATGTCTTGTTTTTAACTTGTGCATGTCTCCGTGATAGTTGCGTTAATGACAGGCAGTGTCGGTAACAAGTGAATGTTAACACGACAGTATAGTTAAGTAATTGAGTCAGCCAAACAAGTTTTTCTTTGTCCTTTTATCAATGATGTCATCCGGTAATTTCGAATGGACAGTTCTGATCAAACTAATTTTTCAGTGCCGGTGTAGAGAAAAAACAATCCCTCCAAGAGACCTCCCTCCCTTCCTTCAACTTCAAATCCTCTCCTCATCTACTCTACATTAATGTTCCTCCCAACTCGTCTTGATCAAATAGACCATAGATACATCATCACCGTTTCACCATTATTTTGTACATGGTTGTGCTTGAAAGAAAAAAAAGGTCGAAGATAGTTCGTCGATGTAGGAAGAGTTATATGTTAAAAAGAACCACATTGACCTGAAAGACGAAGTGCAGATGAATTATGACCCGGAAGAAGAAAGTACAAACTACGGACCATTTCAGAGCTGTGTATGTCACCAGATGCTTGGATAATTCAGCTAGAAAATGTTGAATATTCCCCTTCTGCTATGTGTGATGCAATATATTGACTCGAAAATGTATATGGCAGCGTTCTCAACGCCAGATGAATGTTAAAGGGATTGTTGTTAATTCGTAAGATATGAAATATATAAGCAGTATTTATTATTTTGTAAGTCGGACTAAAAAACACTTAAATAATCACGATGGGTTAGATACCGTGTAGGTTTGTATTCTTATGGCCAGTGGTTACCAGTGGTTACCAGTGGTTAGCAGTGGTTAATAATCATGTTGTTGTTAGGAGATTAGGATTCATCATATTTTAATTGATTGATGCGGATAAAATAAGCAGATTGTACCATGTGACCCGTTTTGATATGCGATGACCATAAAATCCCGGCTTATGGGATCCTTTCAATCACACATGAATATGCTCACCTTCCTTTTGCCATGTTGGCGGATTTCAAGTTTTTTTAACACGGACTTAAATTTCCTTGATCCTGACGATTTGGGTTTGATGTGATCTATCCAGATTTATTGTGGTGAAAGGTATGCTGACACTGTGCGGGGTTTAGCTGGATTAAGCTAATTGATTAGGCTAATTAATTAAGCTTATTAAATTAATTAATGACCACGCTCACGACCTCCCGGTAGATTCCACCCAATCTTACATTCTTATCGATGTTTGATGTTTATGACGAAAGTCGAATCTGACTGGATTCTTTTAAAATGTAAATATTCGTTGTAGCTTAAACTTAAAAACTCTTATATTTTAACCGAAAATTTGCATTGTAAGCCATTTGTTTTCTGTACCCGCTTTCGTTTTTGTCTGTTTGCCAGTGATGCAGCCAGGAACTTAATTAAATTAATAAGTTAGTCACTCGATTAATTTTATGAGTTACGTGCTGCTTTTTGTTACTTTGAAGATTTTAATCTTAACAGATTTTACAATTGTCGGCTGGGGTTAAAAGCAAGAAGCATGTTTTGTAAGTAGAAGCTGAAAGTCCACATTTACAGATTCTCAACTAGTAACTTCTTCTTGTGCGTTACGCTTGACAATAACACTGTTTGTATCGTAGACAGGGTAAAATTATAGAATGTTATTCTAAGTGGGAAATGTAGAATGTAGGTGCCAGTCTAGTGTATTACCCTTGGTGAAATATTGCTTTACCATTGGTGAAATAATGCTTTACCCTTGGTGAAATATGGATTAATTGACGCAGGCAAACAAGATCCTTTCACTGAACTGTGCTTTTTATTGATAAAAGTTACTTTTTTATTTTTGTAAAATTTCTTTTCGATAACTTTGATTATTAATCAGCTTTGTGCTAGTGAATTAGGCTCGGAGGATGTAACAACTAATTTTGACTAGCAGAAAATTCCAAAAGTAAAATATTGGTTAAAACTTTCATTAAAATTGAGTGTTAATCTAGTTCGTTTTACTAAAGGGAAAACAATCTAATGATCATCTAGTCGAAAATATTCGGTACATCCTCCGGTTTGTTGTTCAGCTAAAGTTTTTTGTAATTATAACAGAGCTTTAAACGCCTGGTAAAAATGTGCCTATCCTGCCATTGAATGGCCAGCATTCTCTGAGCAAATATTTGAGGTTGGATTTTCTAATGTCGGCAAATGTGACAAAGAGGATTGTTCAAGGCTATGTGTTGCTGTGAAAAGCATGCTTTTGTATTAAGTGAAGATAATGTGTTTTGCTTTGTCCCCTAACATCGTTGTTCATATATAATAGAAATTTGGAAGAAATTGATTTGATTATAGCGATGAAAAGATTATCTTAGGCTTTGAACTTTTTAAATATAATAATAAAATAGCATTCACAAAAAATAACAAATAATTCACGCTCTGCTTCTCTTGTTCTTGAAGAAGTTTCTGATCTGCTTCTCAGTCAATCCAGTATTCTCTCTCAGAGAGCTGATAGTCTCCTGGGAAGGGGTTCTCTCTCTTTTGAAGACAGCTAGTAGAAGGGACCTTGCGTTGTCGTCAAAGTGGTTGTTGCTCTGGAACTTCACGGAAGAGATGGTGGAGGGAAGGGGGTTAGACTTCCTCAATCGATACTTAGTAGTGGGCATCAGGTGTCGTTTGCCGGAAGAGATCTTATAGAGCTCGTAGAGGGAGTTGTAGTAGAGTTTCTGGAGGTGAGGGTGGTCTGAGGAAGGGAAGTAGGTGACGGAAAGGTAAGACTTGAGCTCAGCGTACTGCTTTTCTTCGAACAGGGACTGTGCAGTGATTGCCTGATCACTTAGGTTTAGGTTTGTCGTAGACGGGGAGCTAGCAGGTGAAGAGGTCGGGGAAGGAACGGGAGATCTGTATGAGCTGGTTAGAGGAGGGAGGTCGGACATATCCGCATAAAACTTTTCTGGGAGGTGAATCTGAGATGGTTTATTCGGAGGGGGATTCTCAGATCCAGTGAACGTCTCCATTACAGAAACAGTGAACATGTTCGGGGTGCAGTTCAAATTATCCTGACACCGGGAAGGTAGTTCCATCTCAGGGAATGTGAAATTAAACGACAGGGGGATGGTCCAAGAGAGGTAGAAAGGGCTAACTGGTAATGGTGCAGGGACTGGTATGTCGCAGAGGGAGGTTAAATCCTGGTAAGAAGGGTAGGTGAATGTTTCCATAGTAGTTCAGTTAGGGAAGCAGTAGTAATTGACGAATGTTAAAATGTAGTTCTTGATGATTTACGTAAATCTGAGTAGCATTATATACACTGTTACCCCATATTCTGTTATAAGGGGTCATTCATAATAACTAAGTATTTCTTAAGTAAATACTCGCTAGTAATTACTTAGATTTTTCTGAGTCTCAAAATCGGTATTCACAAAGTTTGAGCATTAACTGCCCAGTAAAAACTAATACTCAAGCTGAATTCATCGTGAGTATGACTTACATTCAAGTAAATACTCACTAAAATGCTCTCAAACTAGCACTCAAATACTCAAATCAGTATTTTAAGAAGCACGACAGGTTAATTCAGATCTTTTGTTGGCAAGTTTCCATAAACGATATTTTATTATCGGCGCTGATAATCGCTTATAAGCGCTTTTAAATTAAAAAAAGCGCTTTTTTGAATTATTACATCAATTATAGTCGATTATAAGCGATTTTTTTTAACCGTTTATAATCGTAAAAAAATCGATTGTAAACGGTTTTAAAAAAAAAAGCGCCGAGAAAGCGCCCAATAAGCGATTATCAGCGCCGATAATAAAATATCGTTTATGGAAACTTGCCCTTTTGTTTGCCATCTTATGTTAATGGGAAAACACCCAAATTCGGATGTACATCGATGTATCGAAGGAATGTGAAATAAACATTTTCGAGGGAAATTTGTGTCGAGTACATTCGACATTCGCACATCACGTACCGCATATGTCTGTGATGGAATTTGTGATATCGCAATCTTGAAATGGCGGCAAAATGACAACACCCTTGACTCCGAAGATAATTCAGAATCATTCTTGATATCTATGATGAATGTTTCGTGTGCGATATTGTGTCCCCTACAGGTAATTTCACGTCCCTTTTACAGTGGTTTACCGTGATTTACTGTAGTTTTCTTTTATCCACGGTAGTTTCCCGAAACCCACCGTAGTTTTACTGTGGTTTGCCGTCAATTTCTCAAACTTTATTAAATACATTATACATATCGATGTTCAATAATTACCTAGCAGATTATTCTAACCCAATACCGACAGTGCAAGTGATAGAAAGGTAAGCTGAACTTTTGTATGATCATGTTCGTGGCATGTTTTCGACATGATTGTGTCTTTTGTTATTGATTAATTTTGTTATTGATTAATAGACGAAGTTTGAACTCAGCTTGTGTTAAGTCTGAGCTCTATGGCACTTCCTCTTTTACCACCGGCCCCACATTCGACTAGAACATTCAAGACCCGACGTCAGCCCCAAACGGACTTTTACTACAAAACCCAGTTCCGCTTTGAAGAATTAGCAATTATCAGTGTACGTTTGTTTTCACTGTTCAACCTATTACAATCATCTCGGTACGCAATTTTTATCGCTAGTCCTAGCCAAAGCTTCGTGACGACCTCCTCAGTTTCTGCAACAGGGCCTTAATTGATGGAGTAATCCCTGAAGCCTGGAAAACGGCATCTATTATACCCATCCCCAAGAAAGGCGACCTGACCAACCCCGGGAACTATCGAGGTATCTCATTGGCTCCGGTTGCAGCGAAAGTTTTCAACAAACTCATCCTCAACCGGATTTACCCATACCTGGATCCCCTACTGCGGCCAAACCAAAATGGCTTCCGCAGAGGAAGATCTACCCTCCCTCAGATACTTGCCCTACGACGCATCCTAGAAGAGTGTAAAATCGGAAATCGATCAGCAGCTATCGTGTTCGTCGACTTTTCGAAAGCATTCGACAGTATCAACAGGGATGCCTTGTTTCACATCCTCTCCCTCTACGGCGTCCCTGCTCCCATAACTGATGCTATCAGGCTCCTGTATGACTCATCGCACTCCAGAGTCAAAACCATTGACGGCCTTACAGACTTCTTTAGAACACTCATCGGGGTCCTTCAGGGTGATACTCTCGCTCCTTTCCTCTTCATCATCGTCCTCGATTATGTCCTTAGGAACTGCATGACTCTTGACCATGGCCTAACCATCATCCCCAGGCAAAGTCGGAGAGTACCTGCGGTCAGAGTCACAGATCTTGACTTCGCTGACGACCTGGCCTTGACTGCCGATACCATAGAGCAAGTCCAGCAACTGCTCTCGGATTTAGAGACTACAGCAGCACATGTCGGACTTGCGATGAATGCTTCCAAGACCGAATACATGACCATCAACATTCCTGATGCTGCCCCCGTGAACTCAATATCCGGTTACCAGATCAAGCAGGTTGATGACTTCAAATACTTGGGCTCATATATTGCAGAGAGCAGGAAGGACTTCAACACCAGGAAAGGCATGGCTTGGTCAGCCTGTATCAAACTGCAGAAGGTATGGACCTCTGGCATTTCTGACCAGCTGAAAGTCAAGTTCTTCAGAGCATGCATCGAACCTGTTCTGCTGTATGGCTCAGAAACCTGGACCTTGAACAAGCAGTTTGAGAAGCGTCTCGACGGGTGCTACACCAGGCTCCTAATGAAAGCCAGGAATCTTTCATGGAAGAAGCATCCAACCCTAAAGCAAATCTATGGTGACCTCCCTTCCATCTCCACCATCGTTGCACAGAGACGTGCCAGATTTGCTGGGCATTGCATGAGAGCTTCAGACCAGGTCATCTCTACCATCCTTCCTTGGCGGCTGCCACAGTTCAGGCGTGGGAGGAGACCACTCTCTTTTCTTGACACCGTAGCCAGGGACACAGGGTTGCGGGTAGAAGATCTCCGAACAGTTATGTGCGACAGAACCATCTGGAGACGTAGAGTGGAGGAGATTTCGATCGAGCATCGCCCAAAGTAAAGTAAAGTAAGCCAAAGCTTTCAGAGAGGTTTTTTATAACTATTTTTTGAATTGATGACTGATCTGCGTTACTTGGCTTCTGAATGTCGTGGGGACACCATTTTATACCAAGCTTATACTCTAACGTGTTTATTTTTCTGAGAAAATTTGCAAAAACGTCATCCAATCGGGACAAAATATATTAGAGCTTTTGTACTGGCAGTGAGGAGTCGTCCCTGAAAATTTGAAGTGAAAATATCAATTAGAAGGGAAGTTATTGACGTTAAAAGTCGTTGAGCAATAGGTGAGAAAATGATTTGAGAATGTGAATTCGGTTCTCACATTTTGAGCATGAGTTTTGATCATTTGCTAACTTTATGAATACCAATCTTGAGTTAGTTTTGGGTGACGAGTAAATACTAACTTTATGAATACCGATTTGAGTGCTAGTTCCAACTCTGAGCATTTACTAGCGACAAAATACTCAGCCCAGCAAATACTTAACTTTACGAATACCAAAAGCGAATTTGATCTTAAAATCTAAGATTATCTCACAATTTGAGTCTGAGTTTTCGTTTATGAATGACCCCTATAGTACCATAACAAGCCTTGACACCAGTTATACTTGTATATTGGACTTGGAGGATATGATCGCCTGCTCCATCGCTCGCGCTGGGTCGGGAAATATCATGCTTGTCTAATGTCTATCTTCAAACTGGTGTCAGCACTCAGCAGTTCCCAGACCATTTCGGTACAGTTACCACGTATTAAACAAATAAGACATATTTTTGTGTATGTAGTATGATCGCTATGCAACCACAGTTAATGTTTTCCTAGAATATTTGAATTGGAAACAAACTCGTGTTAAAGTGAAATGAGAAGACAAAACATAACAAATTTGATGACCTAATATAAACCATAAGTATTATAACTAATAATAAAACCGGAAAAATACTATCATTAATAAAAATTCTGTCCCAACATAAACCGTATAGATTTAAAAAATAAAATAATATATATGACTATCACAATTTGAATTATAACTTAAGATTTCTAACCGTATTACTATTCTCTAATCATTATTAACACGATTAAGCTAATAAGCAACAATTCAAACTGTGAACGCTTTATTTCAAATCTCGTTCGTACAATTATCTACAGCGACAAAACTAACATAATATTTTATAGCAATGATAGAATATAGGAAAATAAAGTTTTATTCATACATTTGCTGGTTATATAGTGTACATTTATAATTTTATACACAGAATTCGGGTAAAATTTATGCTGTTTCTTCAATGAAATAAAACACCAAACCCAAAAGAAGCAGAAAAAGTCATCAAAAATGATGACTGAACCACTAAAATGTTACCAAAATTTAAGTTTCCATCTGAAAGTGAAACATAGTGAAATAATACCGTTCACTACTATCATGTAGCCGAACATAAAACACGTGCTAGAAAATTCTCCGTAATCTTTTACGTGAGGTTTCGCGATTTGGTTGATCATTCCCGTCGCTACGTTCCCTGCGATTTTAAATAAATGAATAATGATAAATTAATCATACAGAATAAATAATATAAATATGGTGTCAATTAATTTAAATTTCCCTAATTTGGCTCAACCGACAATACTTAAATTGAACACGAACGATTTTGGAAATATGAGAGTTGGTGAAAAACAAGCCACCACCAATAAAGCTCTACTCTAAAAAGAACGTACCAAGTAAAAAGTAGAGAAGCTGATTTTTACTGATAGCCGGTAGCAGACAACAGCAAGAATTTCTGCTGTTTTTAGTAAAACAGTTCCAGCACCCTCCGGGAATCAGGACTGTTTCGTCTCCAGGCAATTGAGAACTCTCCTTTATATGGCCTGAGATAGTTGTCATGATTTTATTTCATTATGTCTCTGATCTTTGCTGCTTTACAATAACTGTGGTTTAATCCAATTGATTTGATAACAATAACTTAAAATGACTGATCAAATGTAAATGAGATTCAGTTGTAAATGAACTGTATAATAATCATGTAAGTGATAACAAATTACACGATCACAGGAATTAGGTTCAGAGTAGGTCCAGGCCCTACAAGGATTGATAATTTTCTCCCGGCCTGGCCCACTCAGATAAGAGTTCAGATAAGAGTTCAGACCCACAAACATAAAATTAGGGATATCTTGGTCCCAACACAAAATCTTATAAATAATCAAAAGATTGTGCGAAAATTCTTTTTTTTTTCAGTAAAAACTCACTAATAATGAAGAAGATAATTTCCATCAGGAATAAGAGTGCTAATAACGAAACATTGTGTGCTGTAGACCACAAAATATACGTTATATTTGCGAAGCATCTTGACGGCTCCTGCGGGGAAAATTCTGTAATGAATCCAACCCATCAACTCGACAATAAAAAATGTTGTTACGGTAGTAAAAATGTCATAAGTTTTTATATTTATAATCTGCAAATAAAGATATCAGACTAACCTGGATATGATTTTGGGATAGCCACGTGCCAAACCAAGATATCAATACAAGAACAGCCATTATTTTCCACATCTTCATCGTTTCAGATAACGTCCCTCTATAGGGAAAGGGAGAATAATGTTATGAAATTTGTAAGCCTGAGCCCTGACCGGTCATAAATTCGAATCTCACGGTTGTACACTGAATATTGCGAGTCAAGGCACAGATAAGATGCTATAGCATATAGATCTGGCATCTGGTTTGAAACAAGCATCAACTGACAGTTATACATGAAACTGACAGTTATACATGAAAATTTGATCAAAAGCACACTAACAATAGTGCTTAGTGTTGGAATTTGTTCCTTAAAAGATTAACAATTTAGTAATGAAATGGGTAATTTCTGTACCTTTTTCGGAAGACAAGAGATCCAAGTGACAATCCAGCAAAGTAGAGGGATAACATTCCGATAGAGCTACAAATACCTGAGTTTTTGTTAAATTAATGAACATTAAACATGATCACCATGATATGAGAGATTCAGCAAGGTGAGGTGTTGAAAATAAACACAATGTTTTTTATTCGAATTTTTTAGATCTACAGATTTACGAAAATGTGTTCTCTCGTTTTACCTTCTCTGTTGGAGTTGAATATTCCATCCTTGTGACTGGTTACACCAGCGACACCGTGTTCCAATGTCTCTGTAACAAATATAGGAGATACATATTAAATAATGGAAAAGATTTTCAAAATAATCATCGGATATCCATGGTTATCAGGATTTATAGTTGCATTACGGTACATTCAGAAATGCAATTTTATCAACTAATAAATGCTTGTCGACCGAAAGCTTCATTAACAATTTAAAATGTCGCCCAGTTTAAAAAATGATGTTTCGTTAAGTTTAAAGCACTGCTCGGATTAATTGTTACAGATAAATATTGCTTTCGCATTGATCGATAAATTGAGTCAGAATTGAAATTGAGCTGAAATAGCTAAGAACTGCACAAGAAACTGGAAGAAGGTTTTCAAGTAAAATGCCAATCTTTCAGTTTCTAGTTCATGGTACGTGAAAGATGTATAATGTGCTATGCAGGGTGGTTGTTCTTGGTAATTCATTTGCAGGTTTACGGTGCAATGGCTGTAAATTATTGGATCCCAAGTGTTTCGTGTAAACGGTAAAATTGGTATTTGTCCCGGCCAAGCGACTAGAGAGAAACCACGGGCCAAGCGCGCGAACGAATGCGCGCACACATGTGTTAATATTATTGACGATGTGAAAAATGTACTTTTTATGAAAATTATGTGATATTCCCGCGCAACCGATCTTCATCTACAGAATTTACAAAATCTAATTAGTGTTCGCTTGGTTGTAGTTGTTCAAACTACATACTAAATATCTTATCATCATGGATTCCTTGCGGTTTATGGTATCCAACCAATTCTTCACTCTATTATATCTTATTAGCGTGTGCTAACTGCTATCATGGGAATTAGATACTGGTTAGGATACTGGCTTCACCATAATACTGTTGTGCTGGAAAGTGAAACAAAAATGTGCAAACCGAGCTTATAACACTTAAATAATTAAACTTCCTATTTTCCGGCATAATATGATAAAGTTTTCTCCTGGTAGTGCAGGAAAATGGTAAGTGATACTCAAGCTAAAGAATTTACCACTTCTCCGAAAATACCGATGAATAAGCTCCGCTCGTATGAGTTGTTCGGGAGTACCTACACAATATAATGGGTAGCAAACTATTAACAGTGTTTGTGTAACACACAGAGTGTAAACATATTAGCAGTGATACTCGTTAAAGCATATATTACAATTACTACTATTGTTGTCTTAAAGCTCTATTGTGGGCCTGGTGGGGACCTAGGATTACGATAAGAGACCACACCACGTAATAATAATACGTGTAATATATTATTATATAAGTGTTACATTGAATTAAAACTGTAAACTGAGACTGGAGTGCCTCTTTGAGTTACACAAAAGCTTTACTGCCCGGGAAGAGACCTACTATAGGTGTTACACATGGTATTATACATGGTGTTACACATGGTGTTACACATGGTGTTACATATGGTGTTACACATGGTGTTACATATGGTGTTACACATGGTGTTACACATGGTGTTACACATGGTGTTACACATGGTGTTACACATGGTGTTACACATGGTGTTACACATGGTGTTACACATGGTGTTACACATGGTGTTACACATGGTGTTACACATGGTGTTACACATGGTGTTACACATGGTGTTACACATGGTGTTACACATGGTGTTACACATGGTGTTACACATGGTGTTACACATGGTGTTACACATGGTGTTACACATGGTGTTACACATGGTGTTACACATGGTGTTACACATGGTGTTACACATGGTGTTACACATGGTGTTACACATGGTGTTACACATGGTGTTACACATGGTGTTACACATGGTGTTACACATGGTGTTACACATGGTGTTACACATGGTGTTACACATGGTGTTACACATCATCTTATCCAAGCATCCAGATCTGAGGCGCCTGTTCATATACCTGCAAATAATAATATGGTGCTTGTAATTGGTGTGCACCGGACTTGTAGCTGGTAGTGTCCTGTTTTTTAAATTCATCCAACGAAAGTCGAATCCGATCGAAATATCGTTACTACAATATTGTCTTCTTGGAGACAGAGTTATGGACCTCTTCAGTTGGCAAATGAAGTTGGTCAGAAACTTGGTTGGTAAGACAACTATTTGGAAGCTAAGAAAGCAAAGCTGCCCTACCCTCAGAGACATTATGCCCACTCTAAATTTTTTGATCTCGCATGAACTGTCTGTACAGCTGTACTCAATCGAACCGGTAACACGACTCCTGTCCGACAGCACTATTTTCTTGTGTTGAAGTGATATCTCAAATTTGGGCAAATTTGGCACATTGAAATTCACCCAAACTTGCACAGATTATTCGTCTTAAAGCTATCTATTGAACCATTGTGATCAATAGTGTCATTTTAGCCATTTTACTGCACACCAATGAATGAAGTCATTCTCAGTCTTATATCTGATGGTAGCCTTTTACTCTTTTAGACGGAATGTAAAAGTGCAATATCTGATATCTTACAGTCTCGTGATTTAAGAGCTTAGTAAAGATTCCTAATTCCTGAACCCGATTTTTTCCATCGACTTCTTCTCATACCTACCTATTTCCTACTCAACTCCATTTTTCGTCTATACTTTGTCGATACGTGAGAACATCAAAAACTGTGCAGGAGAATTTCTAGAATTTCTATGGTTTTGTAAGAATTTTGTTGCTCTTGTAAAAAAAACCACCTGAAGTCGCTTCGATGATTCTGTAAATGTCCGAAAACTGGTACTGACTAGATTTTACCAATTCATAACTAAATTCCATGATTGCAAATGTATAAGTGGCCAGGATCAGTATGGATGGTCAGTATATAATCAAGAAACTAGTAATAGAGGTGGCCCATAACCCACTTTACAATTTCAATGCTTTAAAATGAACTTGCACCCTTTATCCACAATTGCCCAGGCCCATGTAATAGTTCTATTACGGACGATTCAGAAATGGCTGATCATCTATCTTCCTAATTTACAATGTAACCTTTCGATTGTCTTAAAACTTGTCCTAGTTATTGCTTACAAAACTATCTCCTTAGTTCGAAAATGTAAATGAATCAGTCGGATTTAAACCGCCACAGCATCAGTGATGAAGAAGTCCTGTTCATGTTTAAAGGAATGTTCCGAGATCTCGCGCCCATACAAATACCTCTGTCCATCATAGTGCTGATTCAAAACACCGTAATCTTCATGGACTATTATCGGGACAGAGCTAAGTTTGTGTCAGGGCTTTTCATGGGGATAGCACTGTTTGACATTCTCAAAGCACAAGGTGAAATAGTTTTATCCGTGACCAGTCTGTTGGCTTACTCAGGCTATGTTGAGATAGATATCCTGTATAAATCACTGTATTACTACATGATGACAGCACTTCTTGGGATCAACTGTTCAAAGCTCTGTAACCTTGTTCTGACCATCACTCTAACTCTAAAGGTGGTGAACCCCTTTCGTAGGATAAACACGGAGGCCTTGAAGAAAGTTGTTCGACTTATCTGGTTGATCATCACACTGCTTCACATCTCTGATGCTATAACTGCTATTATTGTAGATAAGAAGCTAGCATCCTATGGAGTTGGAGCGAGCACATATTTATTTACACTTCTATGTTTTGATATCCCAGGTATTATTCTTGTAGCTGCAGTACTCTGTCACAGAGACACCACCGGTTACTCAAAGTGCACGGAGCAACATCTGAGAGCCGGCATTGTTGGTAGTTTCCTTGTGATCCTCTATTTCCTGATAATTCCCCTGACAGTCTTTATCTGTATGATGATACAGATCAAGTATTTGAGACGATCTCTCCAAAATGACGAGGAAACAGCTCCCCATGTCCCCAACACTACTCGACATGTCTCCATAACCGTCTTCCTGGTGTCCACTTTATTCTTCGTCTGCAATACCACCTTTTTCTTCTTCATCCTGACCTGGATTCTGTCGCATCAGAGTATTGTGTACGACGAACACAGTGAAAAATATTTTATAGATTTGGGAATACAGGTAGGGATTGCAATCATTTATCATCCTCGTTTGCTACTAATATTTGATTTTTTTTCTGTTTCAAACCATCTTAATTTGTTGATGTTATGTTTTGTCAAATTATTTATCGATATTGATTGTAATAACGATATGATGCTTTACAGATCGGATTCGCTGAGTTCACTTTGCCCCTTATCTACGCTGCAGTCTACCCAGTCATCATAATATCCCGGAAACAGGAATTGAGGGAGAGGTATTTGGGGTATTTAAGAAGAGTTGCTGCCTGGTTCAGTTGCGCAAACCGAGTAAATACTGACGAAGAAGCTGTCTTGATCGAGGAGTAATTAGGTGGAACTAATTAGGCGGAACTAATAAGGCGGAACTAGAACTTTTAATCGTTCTTTTCATATCGTCTTCAAGATCGGGTTGAAACAGTTAATATTACCCGATTTGCATTTTAAATTGATGTCAAACAGAACATTTTTCATCGTATAAGTTTTTGGTTGCAGTCTGTCATTTTGTAAGAATTTTCTTCGTTTTAGTGTTTATTTGCATCTAATAATTTGTACTAGTATTTCGTTGGAGTGTAAGATTACATTCTACTTATTAATAGTAATATGTATAATATAATGATTAATCTGTGATACTGACTGATTAACTGTGACATTTATTTTGTAATCATTTCCCGAGATTGTGTGGATGAACCGTTTCTAAATTTTACCCGAACTGAAACTAAGTTTCCTTTGTACTCAACCTCTTGTACTTGTACTTGTACTTGATTAGGTCTCCTCAATCATTCGAGTGGCCTGCACCAATGAACTCCCGTTTGTGACGTATCATCTCCCTCCAAAGTTTTCGGTCACTAGCCATCTCGCTCGCTCCTTCTAGGTCTATGTCAGTGTTTCCTGTAAACGCTGCAGCATCTTCCAGCAAACATTTCATCCAGTTCTTGCTTGGACGGCCCCTAGATCTTCTCCCATGCGCAGGGGTCCAGTTAAGCAGGTACTTAGGAAGCCTAGTGTCTGGCATTCTGGTGACATGGCCAAACCAACGCAGGCGGTTTGCTCCTATGAACGTCTCTACTGGATTTATCTTTGCACGCTCCAGCACTTCAGTGTTTCTAACCCGATCGAGCCATCTTATCCTAAGTATTCTCCTCAAGCAACGCTGATGGAACACCTCAAAGCGATGTAGCTGCTTTTTGGTTGTGTTCCAAACCTCACTACCATATAACAATATTGTCAAAACTGCTGCCTTATAAATCCTGATCTTTGTATAAGACTGGATGTTGCGGTTTTTCCATTATATATTACTCAGTTGATTGAAGGCTCCGGAAGCTTTCTGAATCCTAGCTGACAGCTCACGGTCGATAGTACCGTCGCTGGAAATAATTGTACCTAAGTACGTAAAGTCACTAACTTGCTGCACTGGCGTGTCTTCAACAGTGATGTTCACTGTGGCTTCTTTCGTGTATGGCCGTTGAGAGGTTGCTTTACCAATGAACATAGCCTCAGTCTTTTTACCATTGATTCTGAGACCTCCCTGGGCACCATACATACACAAAAGGTCAGTTGTTTCTTGAAGACCTTCCTCGCTGTTATCCAGTACAGCCATGTCATCTGCATAGTCTGTATCTAACACAGTGATATCATCAACAAGCGGACTGATAGATCTTTGAAGAACCGCTCCGTGGGACACCATTTTGTTGCTTTCTGTTCTCTCAGCAGCCACATTGAGGCAGACATTAAAAAGTGGGGGACCCTGAATGTCTCCTTGGCCACTGCCTGAACTTACTTCAAACCATTCTGATAGTTCACCATTGTGTCTAACAGCACTGACAGTTCCATTATATTACGCAGATTTCTGAAAATACCCTCAGAAAGATTTAGAAAGAAAGTAATGAAACGTCCGATATTTGTTCATGTAGAAGTGCTGTTATTTAGTACAGTTGTAGTGGTGGCTGATATTTAGTACAGTTGTAGTGGTGATTGGTGTAGAAGTGCTGATATTTAGTACAGTTGTAGTGGTGACTGGTGTAGAAGTGCTGATATTTAGTACAGTTTTAGTGGTGACTGGTGTATATGCAAGCAAATCGTACTTGTTGACCTCCAGTGAGGTAATCTGTATGGAGATTATATGCCAGCCAATTTGCCTACATTTATGTTGTGTAGTTGTTTCTTACACGATTAATTAACTAATTAATTTTCTGATTAATTATTTACACAATAAATTAAGTCTAATTAAAAATGTTACCAGAAAATATTTGCGCAATGGTGCGAGAATTTCTTAAATTCAAAACAATTTCTGTGTTTTTAAAGATGAAAAACATCACTTATAATCCTATACCAAATGAGGTTTAAGTTCATTATGTTCATGATTCCTCATTCTCACTATCATAATTAATAATAATTCTGACTAACCCATAAGTCCGAAGTAAGATAATACTGTCTGGTATCCAACTGCTATCAAAAGAGAAAGGATCCAGGAGTTTTGTGGCACGGGGAACGCGCATAACACCACACTTGATAATACCTGAAAATTATCATTTATAGTCATTATTTAATCCCATACAACAAAACACGTAGCTTAGAATGCCCCTACACCCTACATCCTACACCCTACACCCTACACCCTACATCCTACACCCTACATCCTACACCCTACATCCTACACCCTACATCCTACACCCTACACCCAAAAAAACCTTAATTCCATATTATTTCGCTGTTAACTCCCTGGTGTATAAATCGAGATCAGTGTAATTCGTTTAGGGGACATTCTACACAAATAACATTCTTTCGTCGCTGTGATTAAATTTGAAGAACAGTGTTATACACAGGACTTCTAAGAGCCTTCGATTAAATAAGATTGCGATACATTTACAGCTTATTAGTTGCCTGACAAATCTATTTAGCAATATCACACAATTCAAAGTTCCGTCAATGATCAATCCCTGTTAATCAAATAATTAAATCCCTTTAATAATGGAAATGAGGGATGAGATATAATCACCGTTTCTTCCAGTTACTCGTGAAATACTATTACTACTACTAAATATAACAGAGTAATGAGGGAGTATTATCAATATCATGCACCACAAGGAAGCCTTCGAGGAGGCATGCCCCATTACTTACATCTCAAGTTCCGTCCGCAAACCCCCCTGGCTAACTCGAGAAGTAGAGGAAGCACAGAGGGGAATAAGACAAAAACTGATTACTGCCCGCAAAAAGAAGACTGATGCCCTGTGGCTCGCTCTTAGAGAGAGCAACAAACAATACAACAGACTTATAACCAACTCCCAGCGTAATGCCTGGAGAACTTTTTGTCAGGAAACAGAGTCTGTTTATAAGGAATCCGGAAGGATGAATAAGATTCTGAAATCCTGTAACGACAACAAACATACACTAGAAGCGGTTTACAAACCAAACGGAGACATCACCAAAAATGCAGAGGAGACATTGGAGGTCATGACACAAACCCACTTCAAGGATAGTGTCACTGATCCGCCAGTGCCTCCACCTGGTCCTCTACCAATCACCACCACCTTACTCAATACCATCTACAGCCCAGACAGAATCGAGGAAGCTCTTAAATCCTTCGATCCGTTGAAAGCTGCTGGACCCGACACCCTCAAACCTATCATCATACAGAAAGCTTGGACACACATCAAAGACATCACCAGAACCATTATGACAAAAAATCATGAAACCCAACACATTCCAACTTTGTGGAAAGAATCCCTTGGAATCTTTCTCCCAAAGCCTGGAAAAACTGACTACAACCAACCGAAGTCATTTCGCACTATTACCCTTTCTCCAGTGATGTTAAAACTACAGGAGAAGGTGATACTGTGGCATATGCAACACGACCTTAATATCGCTAAAGACATCCACAAACGACAATTTGGCTTTAAGAAAGGATGTTCAACCGAAGCAGCCCTTCATAAAGTTACTCACACCATCGAGCGCAGGATAGCTAAGAAGGGATATGTCCTAGGCGTCTTTCTAGATATAGAGGGAGCTTTTGATAATGTCTCTTTCAAGGCTATTTTTGACGCTATCAAGACCACGAAAGTTGATCTGGCCACAGCACAATGGATTATCAACATGGTAACTAACAGATTCATCACATTAAATCATAAGGATAAGTCGACAAGGGTTCGGATCCGGAGAGGGTGCCCCCAAGGTGGCATCCTTTCCCCTTTCCTCTGGAACCTGGTAGTCGATGATCTCCTGGCCTACACCGCAAGAGACATACCAGGTTATCTGCAAGCTTTTGCAGACGATCTGCTCTCTCTAGCGGAGGGGAATGATTTAGATATTATCTGGAACAGAACACGCAAAACCATCAACACAATAGAAAAATGGTGCCAAACCAAAGATCTATCCATAAGCGCACTCAAAACACAAATAGTCATGTTTACCTGGAATAAGAAATGGACACTAAGACCTGTGGTGGTGGGTAACACCACTATAGGTCTATCCAAATCTGCCAAATTCCTAGGAGTGACCCTCGACAGCAAGCTCAATTTCAATGAACATATCACGAATACCACCAAAAAAGCTACGGCATCCCTTATGCAATGTAGAAGAGCTGTCGGCCCCACTTGGGGTATGAGCCCTAAAACATGCAAATGGATGTACACCGCTGTCATCAGACCTATTCTATCATACTGCTGTAGTATATGGATTAGGGCAACCCAAACAGACACCAACGCGAGGAAGTTCAAACGAGTTCAGGCATTGGCATTGAGAATGATGTCTGGTGCCATGCCTAGTACTCCCTTCATCGCACTAAACCACCTCACTAACACTCCAGATATCATACTTTTCCTGAGAGGTGAAGCAGCAAAGGGCACAGCCAGGCTTCAAGCCTATGGAAGCCTAACCCTCGAAACTATCGCCCCCAGAAAAGGTACCATCACAACTCATACCACTATCAACAAACAATTCATGGTAGATCTCAACATACCACCCAAAGCAGAGAGAGACCTATCTATACCAACCATGATGCTTGAACGACGCTTCACGGTCACCACTCCTGGAGCTGACAACATTGGATATAGAGGCTCACTCCAAAACACCATCGACAACATCTCCAGTGAAACCATCACCTGCTACACAGACGGGTCACGCACAGACTCAGGTAGCGGGGCTGGTTATGTTATCACCACAGACAACAACAACAGTACACTAGATGAAAGATCATTCAAGCTTCCCGATTATTGCACCGTTTATCAAACAGAACTCACTGCCATCATCGAAGCTTGTAAATATCTATCAACTTATATAATACAAACACACACATCATCATATGGTCAGACAGTCTCTCCTCTATTCAAGCCATATCCTCACCCTCAACGAGGAGTAGGACTACTAGAGACTGTTACGACACCCTCAATACACTCGGATCCACTAACACCTTAGAGATCAGATGGATAGCTGCACACATCGGATTGTGGGGTAATGAAAAAGCAGACGAGCTGGCCAAAAATGGTACAACCAGTGAATCCACTTTGAATTGCCCAATTCCACAATCTTACATCAAACGCCTGATCAACGACAAAGTCACAAAACTTAATCAAGAATCATGGATTACTGATGGTCCCAGACACACTAAACTGACACTTGGACATAAAAACATCAACATCATCAAAAATCTCAACACTACACTCAGTAACAACAGACAAAATTACAGAACTGCAGTGCACCTCATCACGGGACATTGTGGCCTCAACAAACACCTACACACCATTCGCAAATCAGACACAAGTGCTTGTCCTAAATGCGGCGACGGAGAGGAGACTGTCTCACACTTTCTCGGACAGTGCCCGGCTATTGCCCAAATAAGAGGTCAATATTTCCGGGACTACTACCTCTCTGTCAATGACATATTCGACAACCAACACATCTCCACCATTGTCAACTTTACAAACCACACTAAACGCTTAGTGGTGCCAGAGGAGTTGGACCAGACAGGTGTAACATAGCGACTACTGTAACGCCGTCTTATTTCGCCTCTCTCCTCCACACTCAACCACCACTTCAGCGTTTATCTATGACACACCCCACAACACTTACCATCATCCTTGATTACACATCTTGATTCCACTGGCATCCTCCCACAGGACTGCCATACCCCAGAGGTAGGCAAAGCATTCATATGCTATCCTCTCGTGGGCCATCCAGGCCCAGCCTCTCTAAAAAAAAAAAAAAAAAAAAAAAAATGCACCACATGACCACAGATCTTCTTTCCTAGAATTAAACAATACAGTCACAATGCTGTAGTATCATAGTATCGGTCACACATCAGGTTACGCTTTGTAATTACAAATCTACAGTTATTATATATTATGTAACTGTAGTGGTCACATGATACAATTAGAACCGTTGTTATAACTGTGAGAAAGATCACAGTGGGGGAAATGTCTTTGATATAGTAATTAGACGTGTGGAGTAATATACATCACCTACACCGCTACTTTTCGTTAAGGACACGTTCGTTCATTGAAGTTTGAGGATATTGGTAAATATTAGTGGCCCTATTAAATTTACCAATATCTAATCCTCTAACCCTAATGAACGTGTCCTTATAACATTATTCATTTCTTTTATCTCCGTTATTAAAATTAAAGTGAAGTTTTGACCTTAACTTATTATTTTTCTACGAAAATGTGACTTGAGGACTTGTTGTTTTTAATATTCCTTGTTTAGAAATTACTCAGGAGAAAGCTACGTAAACAATGTTACACAAATATAATGTTATGTAAACAAAGCTGTTTCTGACTAAACTTGTCCAAGAAAAACGGATTGAACCTAACTTTGGAGGAAAGCATTCCGGTGGAAATAGTGCAAACAGTGCGTGCCATTATAACCCTGATGGCTAACATATTATTATAATAGTAAGTCATTTTGGTTATTCTATATAACATCAATCATGCAGGTAGACCTGGTTGATTTGTTTTCGAATAAAACCCTAGTTACATTGAAATAACTAGGGTTAATATTACATTACATCAATCACAAAAGTCTGAACTCGACCTACTTGATTTATTATGAAATAAAAGCCCCACGTTCAAATGTAAGGTGATCAGTATGTGAGATGCTGATTTCCCCGCTTAATGGTTAATGAGAATCATGTCGTCTATCAGACTACAAGGTATTATTATATATCTATATGATTTTCTTAGTAAGTTTGTCGGTCCGACTGATAACAAGATCTGAAACCAGCTCCAGCAGCCTTCTAGCAGAGCCGCATTGAGTGTAACATAGATATTAGTTACAGGTAACTAACTGGTAAATTAGTTATCCAGTGTACAGTGTAGGTAGCAACTAACACCTGTTCAAGTTAACTATTAGCTAGAAGGGTACTAAGGTAGTTAGTCGACTACAGAATATTTCTGCAAAGAGTCACATAATTAATAATGAATTTAGAACCATTCACTTTTAAAGGCTTTGGGTTAAATCGAAAAATTCTGAACTCATCATGCTCCAAAGCGATAATTAGATAAATGTTTATTTATTGTAACCATTAATATAGAGTAGCACTGTCAATTGTACTAAGAGATAAAATAATTAATAAATTCACGGTAGATAGTACTAGATAATCTTCACACAAAAATGTTAGCACAGATCAGCTAATGCTAATGAATTGGTTTATAAGGAATTAATTGATTGTCTAATCGATCGATTTATCTTCGAACCTTAACTGAGGCGAGAGTTAAGAAAAAGTTCCAATCTTTCCCGTACTCGTCGTAAGAAACACTGTAGTTCATGTAACCTGAAATTAACTGTAATTAGAGGTGTAATTAGCTGTAATTAGAGGTACATAATTAGCTGTAATTAGAGATGTAATTGGCTGTAAGTGTAATCGGCTACAATCAGTACAGAGAAATGAGGACATTTTCAGCCGATCACAGTTCATAATAATTGACTGTAAACATGCAGCTTGTGTGGGTTCCGGTTCGCAGTTAGTCAATTTATTTGCTAATTGGTTAGATTACTTTATTGACAAGAAACAACCACTGCTTAGTTCCGTGTGAATTTCAGTACTTAAAATTAATTGACTGGATCGAATGTACAGGACACATTTTCACACTTAAAACACGGTTGATTGTTTGGAGGTGTGGAACGTCGGTTTTCATATCTTACTATATATATAAAGCGAGACGATATATATTATATATGGATGGATCCGTGCCATTTTACTGACACCACGGCATCAACTTTAACGCAATATACAATTGAAACTTTTTTGACTGGGTCAAATGCTTTAATGGCCTTCAAATCAGCATTAAAAAAATAAAAATTGGCCTAGGAATAAGAATTTTAGTGCCCAAAATTTGGACTCCCAAGTGGTGCGGTGTCAAAAACGCGAATTAAATGGGTAATAATTATTTTAGTCTCTCGAGTCTTGACACCACTTTAGGGTTATACGGGTTCCTGCTAGTAAAAATTATGTTTTTAATCGGTAAAATAATTAACTTACGAAGTATTACAGTCCTTAATAGACCAATGACAGCCATAACTGAAGATGATAAGATACTCTTCTTGAGGATCTGAAAAGTGCTTGTTAAGATACAGTTAAGTATTCAAATATTTGATAAATCCTTGCCATGGCAATTGAGTTTACAGTGAACAAATTTGAGCAAATTTTATTTGCGAACTAAAATTTCACGGGTGACCTGTAACCTGTTCCATGGGCAAATAATTTGCACACAGTAATCGATACGCGTATTGGTGGTGTCGGGCAGGATCAGGACTGCAGCCACTCGAGTTTTAATTAGGATACACAGTGAGAGAAAAATTTCATACGTGAGCACGTTTACAAATTTTTTTTAAACATTTTGTTTGAGTGAAAATTTGCCCGTGTAATTAGTGTAATTAGAGGGTGAGTTACTCTAGTTTTACCCACATGCACAGCTCGTGAAGAATGTTTACATACTTCTGCTGAAGGTGAATTGGTGGGAAAGTAGATAAGTGTTTATCTTATTATTAAATGATCCTTGTTGCCTGTTAAACAAGTAGGTAAGTAATTATTATGACACATTTTTGTGATTTTACCCAGGTGTGTGATATGACACAGATACCCGTATGCAGCCTACTAGTACGACTTGACGAATAATGTAAGTTAGGGTAAGGACCACTTCTGTTAACACTTTTGGTGAAAGGTTTCATAGTTCATACCAATATTCCAGAGAAAGTGAAATCTTTTTATGCGACGAAAAATACAGTCTTTTAGAAGTTTTACACCAAAGCTACACGGTTATTATACAACAACTACAAGATATGTTATGTATGCAAATTTATTGATCTCGTTCAGAATTTAACATAAATTTGGCGACTTTACCTCCCGAACAAACTGGTATACAGATCTTTAAATATTAGCGATTTTCGCACATTCAAGCGTACGTGTGTCGTGTACCAACGTACACTAATGTGAACTACAATAGTTAGTTGCATTAAGTTGAAGGAAACTATATTTAATTACCCGTACATAAACAATAAACATGTCCACGTGTAACAATGTAACAATTTGGCTCCATATTTTTGTCTGCACCACAAATCTTAGCTTCTTAGTGGTGACCTCTTTCTAGCGGCCTTTTTCTAGGTCTCGTTTACTGAACTCCAGGTTAGGGAAACATATTTGGAATCCCTGGTTTCATATCTCCAGAAGTGTGCAAGTATATTTAAGTATTAGGAAATTTACGGAATTTGAAACTTTAGTCATGGATTAAGGTGGACCTTGCCAGTGATAAACCAGATTTAATTTACCTTCCATCGTGGTCCACTCAGGATCAAATATCAAGTTATCAATTTCAGGTTCTCACTTTAACCCATGTATGCTAATGTAAGCCACCTGTCCTGATGTGGAACTGACCCCGTATACGCTAAATGTTGGCAACTGTCCAATCAAAAGCTCATACTTACATCACGTGACATATTATCGTCCAATCACAAAGGATAGTTGTTATACGAGAAGACTATTTAACCTAAATTTCAAGTCTTACTAGTACTATTGTTCCTATAATACGATTTCGAACGGTTTCGGCCACATGGTGACACACGTTTCATATATAATACAATGCTTCACTTTCTTATCAGTTTCTAAATCGGCTGCCTTTTAAGGGACAAAGTATTAACTCTGATAAAGCCTAACGGGGTGCCGACTGCCGAACATGTTGATAGTGTTCTGTGATTAGGCGTGGGACCATGGTAACACCAACATGTTGATGTACAAGTGTCTCTATTTATAATATATTGGTTGTGCCACCTGGTTGCGTTACGTGGTGCGTGATTCAATCTAAATACACAGTCTGTGTGCAACGTTCAACTATATATAATGTGGTATGTGATGCCATCTGGATGGCACGATTGCAATCTGTGCTAATTATATAGATAAGAGTTTTTTCCTTGTCGCAACAAACGGGAAACTACAAATTATGCCCCAGAAATATTACAACAATGCGACTAATAAATAGTGTTCCTAGATCCGGATATTTCATATTATAAAGAAAAGCGTGCATCAACACGTGCATTTACACGTGATTAAAAATCAAGAGGACCATTATAAAGTCCGGGTCAGACGTATTTGTTGATCTAGCTTCTTTTAAGTCTAACCGCGAACACAATCCAAGTGTTTTTGTTACAATCATAGAGACTGACTCAACAAATAACATCTAATTAATAATTAATTAACAACTAATAATCAACTAATTACCTTTAATTTAGTGTCAGCAAGAGTGCTCATCCGAGCTTCAGGAGCCACCAATCCTGCCATGAAAATAAAACTTCCCACTCCTGTGTCCATTAGTGTGTAACCGAAGTGGTAGGACTTACCGTGTTGCCCTGACAAGATCTCGTTTTACTTATTAAGTTATCAACATTTTTTGTAAGAACACAGAAACTTTAAACTTAGATAATAGATTGTTTGATAGCTGCTGTTTTGTAAATTTGCTCCTAAAAACAAGATTTTAATTCTGATGATACACTCGTTTTATTCTAATGATAAATGTGTAGTCTGGCTGAAAATGAACTAGTGGCACTGTGTAACTAGCATGTATCCTGGTTTAAAGATGGCGCTACAACGGTGTTACACTAAACTCATTAACAACCCAATAATACCAGCGACCATTGCATTGGGATGTGCGAGACGCTTTCACGTGTAGTCATCTGAGAGTTGAGACCAACTTGAAATGTGAGCGCTATAGCCTATATTGGAACCTGACCATTTCATTAACGAACATTTTTATGTTATTCCTTAGAATTCCTATGCCAACTCATTTATTGAGTTACTCACTTTAAAAAATTTTCAATTTTTTAACGTATGGCATTCAAAATACCTGCCATATTTTTTAAGGTCGATTATATTCAGACAGCTATCTTTAACTCCTATTTTGTTGCCAACAGACTCATTCACCATTAACAGATTATTAATTTTATTTATTTATTTATTTATTCAATTTATTAACGCAAATTTACAAAAGTTATTGACATTCTCTTACCGGGAAAGATGGCTCTGAAGTCCACAGCTAAAATACATATAATAGTTGATAATGTGACGTAACTTCTGAATGCTGTTATATATGTTTTATTTTTCTCGTATTTGTATTCCGACTCAAGGGGTGGGTAGAGTTTTATATCTTTTAATCTGAAAAGTAGTTCATTATTGTATACCCAAGCAAAGGTGTAACGACTAACGACCCTCATAGAAAAATTAAAATAGCACAGTTTGTGCAGTTAAGCAGCACAGAAAGGAGCGCTACTAAGCCATATTAGGGTGCAGCAATTTTCCAGCAACAATCAACATTCATTTGAACATGGTAAAGGTATTTGACTGTTTTTCAATGCATTCTAAGATATATTTTCGCAGTACAAATCAGTGGCGTAACTTTGCCTGTTGGCACCCCCCCCCCCCCCCCCCCCCGCCGAAAAGGCGCCCCCCTGTTGGCGCCCCCTCCCCTTTTGGTGCCCCTCCCTGAAATTGAACAAATTAGGTGATTTTAGAGGATACGCCGGTAAAATTTCTAAAAAAGTGTGTATCTAGAGCAAAACTCGCAGTTTTGCTACTAGTACTTTAGTTAAGTTTTCGAAATTGTCCCACATTCAAACGACGATTTGGCGCCCCCCTAAGATGGCGCCCCCCTGCACAGGGAGGTCAGCGGGGCCCTTCGTTACGCCACTGGTACAAATGTAGTATAATCGTAATGGTATTCTAATGTGAAAATAGCGGTATATTGTTCTTCAGCATGTAGCATATCTGCCCACATAATCACCTCAAAACAGCTAGAGACAAGACATAGCTTCGAGGTATAATTGATGTTTAGGGCCTTACGAGAACAATATATTTCAACAATAGAATGGAATGTATATTGAATCTAATTTGAATCTAATTTCCCTGGAAAGAGACGGGTGTGAAATGTACAAGGTCTGGATTTATTCACCTGAATTTCAAGATTAGGGCAGCGACAACGAAGAGAACTATCGCGGAATTCCATAGTAAGTTGTGTTTGTCACCAATTGTGTACAGAAAAGTTAAGGGAGTTGTAATAGTCAGAGTATCAACTAAAAACCTGAAAAACATTTGCTCTGTTCATTACCTTCGATTATGTACATGAGTCGAGAAGTATGAAATTAAATTTACTTAAGTGATTTGAAAGCAGGGACGGCTAATCGAGTTATCTAAGTCTTCACACTGGCAGAGTGGTAGTGGCGGAAAGTTGGAGTACAGTTATATTAGTTAGCTGCTCCAATTACATTTTCATTTGATTTGATTTAATATAATTATTACTTGGCAGCTTGTAAGATTCAGCTCTGAAACAAAATACACAACACAAAATATCATACATTGAAGTGTAAGTTAACATTCTTAAAACACAAACAATTTCTCCACCTGACTGAAGGGGATCTGATACCAGGGTTGTGTCCATCAATAACTTGTCTCAAAAGAGTGTAGAACACTACCATACATGTTGTGAGGGTTATCCTTAGGGCAACATCAAGACTTGAGGTTCCATTTTGTAGCATCCTAGTGATACGGATATATGAAAAGATAAGAAAAGATGATCAAACAACAGAGAATTCATTCTAGCAACTGTAACCTATACCAATGAAAACCCAGTTTAATGTTATAAAAGCAACCTTGCTACTGGAACGTAAAAACTCTTATATCTTATTATCTTAAAACTAAAAACTGAACAGATAAAAGCATGTATTTCTAAAGCAAATCGTATGATCTGCTGGATTGTAAGGAACTTAGTTATTAGAAACAAATTTAAAAGAGAAAAGGTTCAAGTAATGATAGCTATTTATTTAAAATATGTACTCAAGATGTTAATTTCCAATCAATAGCAGTGCTTACAGCTGGTAGACTGGTTCCCCTAGATAAATGTCCAGGCCTTAGGCCAATTGGTATTGGTGAGATCTTGAGACGGATTATTGGGAAGTGTGTGATGATGGTGTTAAAGAAAGATGTTCAGAAGGATGCAGGACCACTTCAAACATGTGCAGGTCACGAAGGGGGAATTGAAGCAGCAATACACGCTATGGCAGAGGTTCATGATAACAAGGACACGGAAGCCATTTTGCTAGTGGATGCTTCCAACGCATTCAACGCTCTCAACAGGACCGCTGCTACCAACAACATGCAGTACGTTTGCCCACCACTTGCTAAATACTTTGAGAACACCTACAGGGAACCAACAGACCTCTATGTAGCTAATAGCAAGGGAGTGATCATCAAGAGCAGTGAAGGTTTCACTCAAGGAGACAATATTGCCACTGGTGGATATGCTCTTAGCACCAAGCCACTTATTGACCGCCTGCGAAACATCATCAAGCAAGTGTGGTTTGCAGATGATAGTGCTGCTGGTGGGAAATTGGAAGCAGTGTATAAGTGGTGGAAGGAGTTGCTCCAAGTAGGACCCAAGTATGGTTATTTTCCTAATCCATCTAAGAGCATTCTAGTAGTAAAGGACCCTCAGATGATTGACCAGGCCAAGGCACTGTTTGGAGAGTTCAATATGCAAATAACATCAGGTACCAGGCATCTTGGAGCAGTACTTGGCAATACAGGTGTCAAAGATCAGTACATTACCGATAAGGTTCAAGGGTGGTGTGACGATATCAAGATGCTAGCTGATATTGCAGAATCTGAGCCTCAAGCAGCCTACTCAGCCTACATCTCTGGCATCCAACACAGATGGAAGTTTGTTCAAAGGACTGTGCCCCACATCTCTGAAGCCATGGAGCCGCTAGAACATGAGATAAGACAAAAGCTCCTGCCAAAGATGCTGGGCAGGGAGATCTCAGACTTAGAAAGAGACGTGTTAAGTCTACCAATAAGATTGGGAGGATTGAACATTGGTAAACCCCACGAAGAATGCCACTCTGAGTATACAGCCTCCAAGCTACTCACCACTGAGCTAACAAAAGCAATAGTGGACCAACAGGAAGTTTACACTGCATCCAGTAACCTCACCAAATCGGGGAAAGAAATGATCAAAACATTGAAGAATTCCGAGCTCCAAGCCATGTTTATTGCTATAGCTGAAAGATGTGGCACCTCCTCTAAGAGAGCATTACTAGCAGCAAGAGAAAAGGGAGCGTCCAGTTGGCTTAACACATTGCCACTTCAGCAGTATGGCTACACTCTGAACAAAGAGGAGTTTCGAGACAGTGTCTGCTTATGCTACAGTTGGTGGATACCAAACACTCCCATCACCTGTGGATGTGGGAAAACAAGTGATCTTGACCACCTTCTCACCTGTAAGCTAGGGGGCTACGTGATAATGACCCACAACAACATCAGAGACACAATGGCAAATCTCCTTCGTGAGGTATGTCATGATGTAAAAGTTGAACCCCAGCTACAGAAGGTAAATGAGGGTGACTGCCTCAACCCCAAGACTATAACAGGTGACCAAGCTCGGCTTGATGTATCTGTTAGAGGAGTTTGGACTCCATTTGATAAGACCTTTCTTGACATAAGGGTTTCACACCCCAATTGCTTATCAAACAGGACAAAAACTCTTCAAGAAGTATACGAAGAGAACAAGAAGGAGAAGAAGGACGAGTACTTGGAGAGAGTGTTGAATGTGGAGAAGGCTACCTTCACCCCGGCTGTATTCCTCACATCTGGAGGAATGTCTAAAGAGTGTAAGCAGTTTGTCAACAGAGTAGCAGACCTCATTGCAAGAAAAAGGAAGGAAAGGTACTGCGATGTAGTAAGACACGTGAGAACTAGGATAAGATTTGCAATGTTGAGAACAACTCTTATTGCTCTACGAGGGTACCGAGGAAAGAAGGTGGACACCAAACGTGAGATTCAGCTATCAGAAGTTTTATACAACCTCATCCCTGCCCCTATAATGGAGTAGATCATGTGTTTTGTTAAAATGTTTTTGAAAAAATTATTGGTAAATGGTAGCAATGAATTGTGCTCTGCCAATTGCAACACTTAAAATTTGATTGTGCTCTGCCAATTGCATCACTTGATTTAATTGAATGTACAGGGTGGGCCAAAAGTCAGTACCCATACGTTGGCCTTTATAGCTCAGTCACTGAGTGCCCAATTTAAATACTTCTTTCTGGTATGACTTAGTACCACCACTGGTTCGAGGAATTTGTCAACTCGAAAAATATTCGCGTTCATTTTTTTCAAATGGAGGTTCATTTTCACATTTATTTGATAGTTTGGATAGTCGGATCAAGCTAAATGTTATTGAATTGTGTTTGGCCATTCGAATTACGTTTGTCCTGAAAGAATTAGAACTGTAGCTTCTCAGATGACCGAGATATGAAGCATAACGAGTTTATTCATTACGTGTGATCAGGTGATTGGTTTACCTAATCACGTGATAAGGTTCCCCCGTTAACTACCCCGTTAAACATTATGGGAATTGTTAAGGGTGCCCAATTAAGGTGTCGTGTCACGGTGTCACATAATCATCCAGTCAATATTGTTAACGAGATACAGAAAATGCTTGATAACTTCGTCATTTCTAAACCGTTTTGCCTCATGTTTTCAGATCATATGCAACATTTGATAATCTACCGTCTCTGAAAAAATCAGGCGTTCAGCATGTTCAGAGAAAACAATATAGGTGTTTTAATATTGAATGGGCGTGGTCTAAAATATTCAAATTTTTAAATTTTGACGACGGAATCCTCGAACCAGTAAGTACAGTATGCCATCTGCAAAGCAACAGCTCTCAAATATAAAACACGGCGGAGCTATTAAGGCCAACGTATGGGTACTGACTTTTGGCCCACCCTGTATATATACTGTTTGACACACTGTTCTCTGTCCGTTTACAGCCAAATTTGCACAATGCAGTGAAGGACAGAAAATCATACACTAAAAAATTTATTTAAAAGCTTTGATAAGACCTCATCTTGAGTATTGTGTCCAATCGTGGAATCCAGTTGCGGCTCATGGAAGTTGGGGGACTGTTTTGGAGCTGGAGAGCGTCCAGAGGCGATTTACCTGTCTTATTGATGAGGTGGGTACTCTTCCATACAGCCATACACCGGATATCCTCAATTTGACAACGCTGGCAGAGCGGCGAATACGCGCGTGGGGACCTTAAATGGAAGCTTTTAAAGTAACTAGTGGTTTGACTGAATATGGATCGGGTTTGTTCAGAATGAGCAGATCTGGTCTTAATCTAGTTTTAACCAATAGGTGTAATAAGAGTGTAACTAAAGTTAAGAATCTCCAGTCTTCTTTTCTTCCGGAGCGAGTCATTCCTCACTGGAACAAACTCCCTTCAGATGTCAAAAACTGCTCGACAGTATAAGCTTTAAAGTTGGATTGGAAGGATTTAAGAAAGAAATGATTTCTAAAAACAGTGTAAATGATTGTATTTTTGGAATGTTTCGAATGAAGTTTTAGGGAAAATTTGAAATTGAAGGACCCAGTTATTTAAGCAATAAGGAGACACAAAATGAATATTTTTGGTTTCATCCTTTTGTGACAAAGAAGCGTTTTATAAATCTTTATTCCACTGGGAAGTATTAATGAATTATTTATAGTGTATAGATAATGTATTAGATTTTATTAATTAATAAAATTGAATTTGATAAATTATTAATGTTGATGGAAAAATATGATTATTTAAATTATTTTTTATTTAGTGCAGTCATGATATTTTGTAGACACTTGTGATGATGTTATATCATAATCTTTACTTACTTACTTGTAGCGCGATGCACTACTGTGTCGCGCGCGCATCAAATAATGCTTCTCGCAACCAGGGTAGATTTGTAGCGCGATGCACTACTGGGTCGCGCGCGCATCAAATAATGCTTCTCGCAACCACAGCATCTTAAGCAGATCGGCGAGATGCGAAGGATTGACATCGTCAATCAACGGTAGATCGGCGGAATGTACCACTGTGCCTCACCGAGCTGCGAAGGATTGACATCGTGAATCAACTCTAGTACCACCACCAGTCGGTAGTTTTTCCTGGGTTGTAAACCTACAAGTTACTGTGCCTTGACATACGTTGCATGCCACTTTTCGCGCGCGAAGCGCGCTCCGCCGAACATGTATCAAACTGTGCCTTACCTGAGGACCCCAGGCTTTAATGTTGATAAACAACATAGAGATTAGGCGGAATGACAGGCTGAGCGCGGCCCAGTAAACTGTGCCGCGCCGCGCACTCAATCATGCTTCTCGCAACGATCGGCGAAACGCGCTACTGTGCCTCGCCGAGCTGCGATGAATTGACATCGTCTGCAATTATAACACCCGTTAAATTAAATTAGGTAGTGCGCCATCGACAGTGAGCCGCGCGTGCCGACTGTAGGATGGTTTTATAGCGCTAATTTCGGCCAGCACAATTTTCTTCAAACAAATAGATATTAAGTATCCTTCCCGACCTCCGATTGCAACAAAAATTGGTAAGCTTACTCATAGACTTACAAGAAAAGTGTCCGAAAAGTTTAAAGCATATCCAACCATCAGACATTATGTTACAGCTAAAAGCAGCATATTTTACCCCATTTTGATCACTATATCAACTCCGATATCCACCAAATTTTTCGGACAGTTGTGAAAGCCCTATTGGAAGGTCGTCGCCAATTTTCAGAATGATCTTATTCAAGGAACTAAAGATATATCCAAATAATACGACAAAAACCAACGAATTTGGTCAAATTACGCGACTTTTACAGCTAATTTTGCTCCAAAAGCCGCGCACCATCAAATATGGCACCTAGGCGAAACTCACTGATTTTTCCAAAAAGGTATGACAAATTTGGTATTGTGAAAATTCTCACAGTCTCTAGAAAACAATGGTACAAAAATTTTTAAAATCCGAGCAAGTTTATTTTTATGGTGCACCTCCTAGTTAAATTTCCTGCAGTACTTATATTGGGCCATTTAGCTTCACAATAATTATTTCTTCATTTTTTGATATAATAATCTGTCTGACTGATGCAGACGATCAGAGGACTGCGATAGGATGTTGTATTATAAAAACATTGAGGTTGAGAATAGTCAAGTTAACAGTCATCTTAAAAAGGAATTATTGAAATATTCACATTCATTACAATGTTCAAACTTTGATTCTAAACTTTCGCATAAAGGTTAAAAATGACTACAATATGTGTGAAAGCCGAAAGGTAAGGCTCAGTCTCAATTTACCGGGTAAATTCAAACCGATTCTGATAATCTCTTTATAACGAGAGACTAGAAGTTAAATCAAATTTATAAATCCTTGTAACTCAAACTGCGACATTAAGACATAAAACTACTTTTAAGCTATTGATATTAGACTCACCATGAGCTGAATATATTTAAAATCCATTAGAAATCAAATCTTTTCTAATCCTAAAGATATCCAACTGTTAAAAATTCATCAAACGTTGTAAACTAAAAAGTAATAAACGCGACCAACTTAAAACTACTCAAACGATATACAGTCGAGCGACCAATATCCCACCTTATCAACGAACCTTCACTTGTAACCGTACTTATAGCCAAAGCACTCCACGTAAAACTGCCTAACAGGTAGCGCATGTCGGGTTGTACATTTTGACCAAACTCGAACATAGGCACCAAATGAATGTTATCTGCTGTCATAACCTCCGGGTGAATATGAAGTCCCTCGGGATATTCTTCCTGATCAAAACAAATGTTTACTTTGAACTTGTGGGGTTGACCTGACTTCATATCAGGGGTAAACTTTAGAACAAATCCACATTTTCCAGGAAGATGACAATCAGTAGTGTCAGGGTGCTTGAAAATAAAAGCATAAGATTGTGAGGTCTCAAACAGATCTTTGATTGTGCAAGAATTCCAGCTTAATATCTTTTTGTCCGGCCCAACTATTCTCCCAACTCGTCTAACACTCTCTTCCGTAGATATAAGATCATTTCCATGTTCTTTTATTGTAACGGCGTCTTCGGTGGCTCCTGGATCCCACGATTCAACGAATTCAGGTGATATTCTGTTCCATCCTCTCTTGCGACGAATAATTTCCATTTCATGTACCATGTCGGGGGTAAGCCTTTCCACACACAACCGAAGCCCTTCAATCAACATGTACAAATTCAGTACAAGAGGAGATTCTTTAGCGGTATCAAAATATTCCTGTGTACTCAGTCCACAAAATAATTCAAATGAGCAAAATATGTTGGGAATTTTTGCTGAACTTTGGCGAAGTACAGGTGCAGATAAAACAGCTTTTGATGACGAAGAGCAACTCAAGCTCATAATTTTCTTAAAGTCTTTCACTGACTTCATGTACAACTTGCTCACAAATAATGCATCACAGTCAGATGACTGGGTTGCATTATCTAAAACATCAAACAGTTCTTCAAAAAAAGCTTCATCTTCAGAAATACATTTGCGGAGATCAACATTCTGTAGGAGGTAACGAGAAGCTTCATCAAATATCTTTCTCTCACTCTCCAGATTCTTCTTCATTATCCTCAACAAGATAACATGATTACTACTTGTAATCTGCAACATTAAATCTAGTTGACTAGTTTCAGGTTCAGAGTAATTCCTCATAAAGGGCTCAACAAATATCTCAGCTCTGTTCTCCAGACTACAAATCTTCTCTAGGACCAGGTCTAGAAACTTCTCACATTTCATGACCTTGCTACAAAACATGGCCTCCTCAAACAAGAACAACAAAGTCTGGTAATCAGAGGAGGGACTCACCCCACCCACCAGGCTGGTAAAGTAGTCCCCACACCTCCCTGCTAACCACTCTACTTTAAACACATGACACAGCTTGTTAACATCTCTGAACAAGTGTTTCTCCAGCAGGATCTCCCCGCTGTACAGGGCCCCCAGGAATCTCTTCACCGCTTCCCCCGCAAAGTCCTCCACCTCTAGCACTGTCTGGTGTAGTTCCAGGAAAAGGTGAACAAACACTGAACTGTGGTAAGACAGGATCAGGGAGTTTGCTCTCTTTTCTTCTCCTCCTTGTAACTTTAGGACCACGTTACCGTGAAACTCACAGTGTAGGTTCTCTATTCCAAAATCTAATGGTACTGTCACCTTCGGGGCCATTTCACGATCTGAAGATCTAGTGTGTTGTTACTGTTAGTATTTGTATCTGTAAGATATGTATTGTTAAACCCTGATCATTATTAACCGAAAATGTTCTTTCAATTTTCGAAGTCCGTACCTACATTCGGAAGGCTGTGGACGTGATTGGTTCCATATACTTATAAAGAACGTGATATTTGACGCAGATTTAAAGGAAAATGCGCGAATTTAGTCACCAGATTTAAAGGAAAATGCGGAACTTTAAAAATCGCGAATTGTCGCGAGGATCTGAGAAAATCACGATTTGTCGCGGCAAATTTGATCGCACTGCAAAGGGAGGCCTTCCTTCCGAGATCGCATTACAATGGGGAAGTATCAACTCCAAAATCATACACTTCAGAAAACCGAAAAGGAAACAATATGTTAGGCGATCACAATGATCAAGGGTAGCATGAATCATCACATGACATGGAGTACGTTTAGACACTTGATTATGATAAAAGGTATTATCATTTAAGAATGTGTAGTGTGTAGTAATAGTATGTAACTTGAGATTGTCGAGAATGTGTACTGTGTAGTGTGTGAACGGCAATTCTGCAGAACATGTAAGACTATTGTCCCTCGATCCTCGAGTCTCTCCCGATCGGCAACAATTAACGACGCACTCAGCAGCTCAATATTGTGCTATAATAAATAAAGTAATAAACGCTATAAAGGAACCAGGATGTATCACATTCTTTTCAGATTCACAGGTAGCGATCATAGCAGTCAGGCCCAATATGATCAAATCTAGACTACTACTAGACAGAATTAACTACCTGAACATTGCCAGAATAGTGAAAACCAACAAAAAATGTTAGGCTCATAATGATCAGGATAGCATGAACCGTGCAGAAAATGTTGTTTTCAGGAATCCACTTTCACAAGCATTTCTTAACCCACTTCCACTCGCCTGCTGAATGCTGACGTATTATATAATATTAGACGAGACTAAAGAGTTTCTCCAATATAAAATTGATTTATAGATTGCAACGGCCCTGAAGCGCTTGGTACATCGACTTTAATTCTATTTTAAGTCTATATAATT